ATGTCTTCCAAATAAGACTATGATGTTTAAGGATGAAAACTGCTCAGGGGGTAAAATGAGCAAGGAACGTTTGACTGTCCTAGTTGGAGGAAATGCGTCTGGGACAGAGAAATTGCCCTTACTTGTTATCGGAAAATACCGAAATCCCCGATGTTTCAAGAATGTAAAAACATATCCTTTGGATTACAAGTCTAACAAAAAGTTTTGGATGACATCAGTTTTATTTGAAGACTATGTAAGAAAAATGGGTCGGAAATTCTTTGCTAAAAAGAGAAAAGTGATACTCTTTATGGATAAATGCACAGCGCGTTGTGATCTGCCTAATTTGAAAGCAGTAAACTTGCAGTTTCTCCGGCCAAACACTACAGCAAAGTTGCAGCCGGTGGACCAGGGTATCATAAAGTGCTTAAACAGTCTTATCGTAAATGGCTAGTCAGAAAAATGATCTTAAATACTATAAGCATTTAGAAGATTTGTAATTAATAAGCATTAATTAAATAATCCGACAATATTTTGAAAGTCCAAAACCTAAACTAACGGTAAGTCGAACTTCCGATATGTCGAAGTTTTTCGTCAGTCCTATCAGATTCGAGTTATCGCGAATTCACTGTATGTATATATATATATATTTGTTTATTATTTTATAATTTAGTAAGCTGTTATTAATATTGACTAACATTGATACATTTTAGATTCTCAAATTCCAAATGCTCAGAATACGAACCAACCTCATGGGGGACCAGGAAATGTGCCGCCTAATTTCAGTCCTGCACCACCTCAGCCACCCATAACACAATCACGTAAGATTATATCCTTAAAATATTTCAGAATTTTTTTACAACTGTCTTGATTTATTGCCCCATTATTTTCTGCTGTAGCTCAGAATATTGTTTTTAAATGCAATTTAAGAGCAAAATTCTGAGCTAAATTTATCTTTTATTTATGTATTTTTGGTAAGAAAAAATTTTATTGTACAATTTTGATATTTAGATCCAAATATGCCACCAAATCAAAATGTTGGTGGGAATCTTCATGGCCCTGGTGGAGTTTCTCAGAATTACAATTCGCCTACTCATCCTCCTGTTGGACATTCTCGTAAGTTTATTGCAGAAAAATGTTTGTTGCCTTTTTCAAAATCTCTGATTTGACAATGTTTTCACCATCGTTAATTTTCTTGTATGCAGGAATCTTAATCTTTGATTGTCTCAATTTTCAAAGTTGATTTTTAGCAATGGTTGGCATTTTGCCTGGAAGAAACTTATTTCTTCTAGGATACTTGAAAAAATTAGAAGAAACTAAGAATAATCAATTCATCTGTTTAGCAATGAGTATTATAAACAGTTCAAATTTAAATAAATTAAATATAGTAAGAGAAAGTTTAAATTTTTTCACATTTTTTTTCTTGTTTTAGGGAGAATTTTAATTTAAGTCAGTTTGAATATTTATGTTTAGCAGTATTTGTATATGAAAATTAGTATGCTATTTGTAATCGAGGATTTAATGTGAGTTTTTATTGTAGTGTCTACGTGTAATATGCGATTTGTTAATTTAATGGTATTAATAAAAATTTATTATGTTATTGTTTTATTATATTATGTTAGTTGTTTATAAAATTAGGCTCTACTATTCTCATTATAATAAAATATTGAAAAACTAGTTATTTTAATTTTAAGAGAAAGTTTTTCAGTTGTTACTTTTATAATTTTAACCTATTAAAAAAAAATTTGTAATTTATAGTTTAAAAATTAATGTTATTATTCAAACTAGATTGTAATTATAAACTGTTCAAAAAACTGTTTAAATTTTTGATATTTCTTTTCATAAAAGAATTTCTTCTGGGGTAATTTTTTCCATTTTGAAAAAACGTAACATCAGCATTTTTAACAGCTTCTACTTTTCTTTCATTTTTTTTTTGTTTTGTTAAATAAGAGGCTATTGCCTGTTCTCATGAAGTTAATGCTTAGTTAGCATGTTTTGCATAATGCTTTTGTAGCAAATTCATATTTATTTTTTAATCTTTGAATGAATGTATTTCCCTTTTAGATTGTATTTTCCCCTTTTTTCCATTATATTTCTAAATACTTCATTTTTTCTGAAAGTTGTTATGAATTATCGTTATTATACAGGGTAGAGGGTCCATAAAGTCTGGAGACAGTGATCTATCTTGAAAATTACACATTGTGTCAAAATCAACCTCCTGATATTATGAGGACAACTTAAATAAAAACACCAAATTTTTAGTGAAGATTTGAATATTCTAGAAAAAAAAAAGTTACCTCATTTTAACTACATGGTTTTGCAATTTGATTCAAAGATGGCACTGTAATCACAAAATAAAAATGGCGTACAAGTTGTTTAAAATAAAGTAACTTGAGAAATACTTGTTAGGTTGACAAAATGATACTTTAAATCCTTCAGTAACTTTTATCACCAAAATGCAAGTTAACATTTGAAAAAAATATTTTAGTAGTTTATCAATTATTGTTATTTTAGATTATAAATTTAATATTACACCGGGTTGCCACTCCACATAGAAAACCTATAAAATACAGGGAATTTAAAAATCGCCTAAAATAACAGGGAAAATGTAGGGAATTTTGATTTTTTTTCTTTGCAAACTGTTAAAATACGGAAAATTTTATTTATTTTCATCTTTTAAAAAATGGTGACCACTCAAACCGTAATCTATCAGATATTTAAGGATGATATTTCAGCTATACTAAACTATTTCATTTACGATAGCATTATTTAAAAATTTTCAGCTGTTCCTTCTTTTTTCTCTAAGTTTTTCCAGCTATGTAAACTAGTACAGGGTGCATAGCATTTTTAAAAAGTCTTTAAAGGTGCTTTTTTTATTCGGGGTTTGTAAAAGGTGCTTAATTTTCTATCTTTTAAAAAGAGATTATTTTTTCTTTGTTGTGGCGATTGTCGCTCTAAATTACAAAAATGCAGAATTTTTTACAATTTTCTCCACAATATTTATCAGAAACTAATTATTTTATTATGAGTATGTGAAGTTTTTTGAATTTTATTGATTTTATGTTCATAAATTAAAAACATTAAACTATAGAAAAAAATAATTTTTATTATTGCACAGATTTTAATTATGATTTTCTTTTGGAAAGGGATTAAAAATATTTTTTGAGTTTGTAAAAAGTACTTAAAAGGTGCTTATTTTTTGTTGAAAAATCTGGCTACTCACCCTGTAGTATAGTTAGCCCAATATCGGTCACATAAGAGCACAGTAATTGTTGTGTTTCCTCTTACTATATTGTGTATAATATGTACAGGAAAAACACAGGGAGTTTTTTTTTTTTTCAGATTTGAGTGTCAACCCCGTGCTTTATATTATGTTATTGATTCAATATTTATTACTAATATAATATTTAATATTATTAACTTGATATTTATTATTAATAACTAGAAATTTACCTACATTACAAGTATGCTGTCTGTACGTAGTTTTAGTTTCTCAATTATCTAAAAATCTGTTAAACTTTTTCTTCCATTTTAGCTGGCCCACATCAGCAACAACAGTATCAGCAGCAACAGCAGGGTCCTTTTGCTCCAGGACAGCCACCACAGCCTCCCCCACATAATCAGTACAACAGCTCTTCTCCTCAAAATACTTATGGCCAGAATCACCCATCATCCAACTACAATTCATCCACTCAAAATTATGTACCGGTAAATCAACCACAAGGTTATGGACCAAGTTCTTCACCTCATCCTCAAACACCTCAACAACAACAGCCCCAAGCTCCTCCTCAACAACAGCCACAACAATCTCCTCAACCTCAACAACAGTTACAGCAACAACAATTACAACAACAACAGCAGCAGCAACAACAACAACTCCAACAGCAGCCTCAGCAACATCCTCAACACCAGTCTCAACAACCACAGCCTACACCCTCCCAACAGCAGCAGCAGGTACCACCTCCACACCAGCAACCAAATAACCAGCCGCCTGGTCAGAATTACCCAAACCAGCCTGTGAATCAACCGCCGGGTAATTTCAACGTTCCTCCCAATTCCTCCTCATCCCAACCGCAAGTGTACACGACCCAGTCCTCACAAACTTACAACCAGCCCCAGCAGTATGGGCAGCAATCCGCTAACTCGCCTTCCCAGTGGTACCAGAATCAAAACACCCAATCGTACCCATCTGCTACATCTACTCAACCAAGCTATTCCATGTCCCAAGGTGGTTATATGGGACATTCTCAGAATTTTTCTTCTGCTCCAAATAGTTCATATAATTCTCCACCCACCACTGCTCAGTCCAACTACGGACCCTCGTCACAGCAGTCGAATTATATCCACCCATCAGCTGGTCCAAATGTTCAGGGTTCAACACCCCCACCTGCTCCAGCCCCCCAGAATCGTTTCCCTTCTAATTACGCTCAGAGTAATTATTCTCACTATCGGCCGGCTTCTCAGGCGCAGCCCGGAGGAATGGGCAATCAAACCCATCCCAATATGGGTAATCAAATGGGTCCTCCCTCCGTTCACAGGCAAGCTCCTCCAAATAACAACTCGCAGAATTACAGTTACGAACAAAATCAAGGTTATGGTTATCAACAACAGTAAGGCACGCCATCAACACCACTATGATGATTATTTAACTATTATTTTAGAGTGAATGTGATACTCTAAGATTTTGACTGCAAAACAGTGCATATTGCAGTGCGGCTATGAGGGGAACTCCTCCCAGACTAAAAGTCTTGGACTGTCTGCTACTATGGTAACAAGCGAGATCACATCTCTGATGTGGGTGAAATGAAGGAAAGAAGGTGTCGATTGGTTTACTCACGCCGGTCTATGCCAAAATTAAGGCAAAAATATTCACCTCACACCCCTATTGGTAATGACTTTTCCTCGTAACCATAGTACGCCGACCTAGGCCAAGATTAAGGCAAAACTGTTCACCCCTATTCGTAATAACTTTTCCTCGTAACCATAGTACAATGCGAGACTTGTGTCTGGAGAAGTTCTCCTGAAAGTTGCACTATACATTAACCAGAAGAAATAAATAAATAAAAATTAGTTAAAAACATGCACTGAATTAAGTGATATGTAATATTACTTTTATATTATTGTATATATGAAATATTCATTGCTATTGTCTTGTGGTTTTAAAGGAATCAATACTTTTAACTTGATAATTCTTTAATGTAAATTTTAATTATTAGGAAAAGTTTTGTCACTATTTTTTAACAGTTTTGGTTTCAATAATAAGTTTCCCTCTCCCACTCAGTGTGTTGTGCAATGTAGCAAAAAAATAAATAATGAAATATGTATAAATAGTTAAAATATTGCTCATAAAAATGTATTTAATAAAATGAATTTTGGCTTAGTGACTTATATCTGAACACACTAAAGATGTGCCAAAAATCATACTTGCCTTTGTTGGATTCATTTGAACATCCGATTAATTGTTTCTCATCTTAAATTTTATATAAATTGTGTTTAAATATCCCTAGAATTTAATATGTAAGAAATGAAAATATTGTAATTCCTCTTATTTTTTATTAATCTCACTTTTTTTTATTAATCCCAGTGTGGCTTAGAAAAGGTATTTAAAATTAAAAACCAAATCTCAAATTTGTAGTGTAGTTTTGGAAAAAGTGTAAACTTAAAATTGAAAATATCTACTTTTTAAAGTAGGTTTAAATCAAAGTAAAGACTTTTTTTTCCTTACGTTTAAAACATCTGTGTTAATCATGTTTGAAACATTGAATGAAAAACTTGTTTTAGAACCTGAGAGGTTTTTTAATAATGTTTTCTAACTTGCTCTTTAATGTATACTTGTAGTTTGATACATGTCTAAAAAATATTTACTGTTTTTAATCTTTTTTCAATTTAGAGTTTTCTGCTTTAAATTTTTTTTAGGTACTTTGGAATTATCTGTCGACGCTTGCGAAAATGCGCAAATCCTCTTATCATTCTAAACACATTTGATTTATCAAGTAATAATAAAATATTAATTACAAAAAAAATGTAAAAATAAATAACAAAAAGAATCAAAACAGAGTAGAAACTTCTAATTTTTTTATAATTAACATTGAATTATTATTGAACTTAACCATATATATTATTATAAATCATTTCGTCTGCCAATAATCCTTGATAGCGCAAGCAAACAAGTTATCCTCCTTGTGTAGTCGCTGCTAAGGAAATCCCAAATTCGGATCATTTTGTTGTGTAGTAAAAATGCAGTATATTTCAACAAGCTGAAGAAAACTAATTCGCATAGTCAAGGATTACACGTTAAATAAGATAAAATTTGTGGTTATTGGCGTAGAATCAACCTTTTGGTGATAATATCAGGTTTGGGGGAAATGGTCGACGGAATACTCCCAAAGTTCGAAAACGGTCGATGGGATGATCCCAAAGTGCCATTTTTTATTTATTTTTGCCAAGGTAGCATGTTTGTAACAACCTTGACAATGCTTTTAAAAGCTACTTTTACTATATTTTTTTATTATTTAACCAAATAAATCAATTTTATATCCGAACAAAAATATATACTATATGAAAGAAGTGAATGTATAATTACTTCTTTTTTTCCTCCTGATGTGTAGTCTATATTTCTCCCTATTAAGTATTTTTCTCATATTTTGCATATTTATCTTTTGAATATTTTAAATAAATTATTGGTTTTCTTATATGACTGTTCTAGAATTCTTCATCAAAAATAAAAATACAATACAACAAAACCCATTATCCAGAAATCGGAAAACCAAAAAACCGGAACAAAATTTGATAAATTTTCCCGCCATTTAAAAAAAAAAAATTTTTTTTTTCCTCATAAGATTTTAAGATTTTTCTTTCTTTTTTGAAAGATGTTTACCTTACCATCATTTTGGAAATAATCATTAGTGTATTACTTCATCGTTTTTTCTTCTTTTTAAGATTATTTCCAAATATTTTTTTTTTTCAAAGGGGTTTAACAATAAAAAAAACGGCTTTTTGTAGCGATTCAGAAAACCGGAAAAATCAGTTATCCGGAATAGCGATGGTCCCGATCATTCCGGATAATCGGTTCCCTACTGTATTAAAATATAGCATGACTTTTTTTTTTTTTTTTTAAATTTCAAGTTCGTGGACTAATTTATTGAAGTTTGGAATTTTCATGTATTCCTACGATTCCTATTTTCAAAATATATTATAATTTTTTAATCTGTTTTTATTGAAGACACATATTTCAAGTTCCTTACCATTGTACATAAAAACTTGATTTATAGTAATTAAGAATTGTGCTGTAATTTTGTAGGGTTAAAATTCTCATTTTAAGAGTATTTTGTTCATCCTCATCAATAGCTATGCTTATTTTATATAATTGTAAATACTCACTCTAAGATCTTAATAAAACTGGAATTACTGGACTCTAATAAGTTACCGAACTTAGAAATATTATAAGAATAGGTCAAAACTGAAAGCAAAATACAAGTAGGTTTCTGAATGAATCTTTTTCAATTTAGCTCTTCAATTATCAAAGTACTTGAGTATCACTATAATCTTATTATTTACTACTATGTATAATTAGTACTTATGTATAAATTAGAATAACTTTACCTAAACTTTTCACTGGGAAATTTTATGTATTGTTTAGTATTTCTGAGTAATTTACACTACACTGTGACAGTAGATATAATACACATAGCTGCCAACTCTACTGGATTTTGCCGCTTTCTCCTGGTTTTGGTACACTTAAAAAAATTCCCTAAAATTATGTTTTCTAACAAAAATTCCTATTGAATTCTATATATTGCTTGCTTGAATATTTAAATTAGTGTTACATAATGAAGTGAGCTTCATTTATAGTATTCAGCTTAAAGCTTTTCTTCCTTTTTTAAAAATTTTTAGTTTAATTTTATTCAGAACTCTCTTTTTAAATTAATTAAAATATTTTTGAACTGTCAATAATAAATTACTTGTCTTTTACTATTAAAAATTATGAGTTAACGTAAGAAAAATCGTTTCAAGTTCATTTAACGTCAATCGTAACGGGTACATATTATTTACCATTAATTAAGTTTTTGTATTTTGATGACAACAGGGTTGCCACTCCACAAATAAAACCTGGAAAATAAAGGGAATTTAAAAATTATCTAAGATGACAGGGAGTTTTGAGTATTTCTCTAGTAACTGGGAAAATACAGGGAATTTTGTTTCTTCCTGATTTAAGTGTCAACCCTGGACAATAAAATTCCCTAAATGTAAAGCATTTAGTATACTATACAACAGTTACATTACATTATTAACCCCTTAACGATCGGTTAATTTTCAAGAAAAAGGTCATAAAAGTGCCTATTTTTTTTACATCTAGTTTAAAATAAATTATCTACAATTACCATAAAAATATCCTGGTACTGCCATCTGGTGTGTAAAAGGAGAAATAAAATGTTTTCCTGAAAAAAGAAATGAATTAGTTTTATTCTTATTGGCGCGTTACTACTGAACACTCCAGCCCTGAAATTTCACGGGAGTGAGAAATAGAGGATGAAACCTCACCCCGTCATTTTTATGGGAGCGAGAAGGAAGGGGTTAACAGTATATTATAAAACAATATTTATATTATTTCGTAACATCTACTGGTTTATTTCCTATCCATTTTGGCAGCTATGAATTCATATTTGATAAATATTTGAAACACTTTTGAGTAGCTTGAGTTTTTCTGATAATTGAAGTACCTTCTTTTAACCTGATTATGGTTCTTACATCTTATCTCAATATGATGCATCTTATTGTAATCAACCCTGTGTATATATATATCTCATTTTTTCTTTAACTGATAGAAGTTGAAATATACTATTTGTGAATGTACTGCAAATGTTTTTTGTAGATAGTAGTTCATATTATTCAATCATAATGTTGTGTTGACTTTAGAAGTATGGTTCTCTAATGTTGATTACAGTGGGGTTTTGTATTTTTACCCTTGTGTGTATGAAATTGCGTATTCTTTTTCTTGTATTCTCTTCACTGTCTGTTGTGTAAATCAATATACAAAATGTGGTTATAGATTTCCAGGGTTTCTCTGATAACTCTTGAAAATATGTGAATTATATACCAAATTCATGTTTCTAATCAACCTTCAACTTCTGTAATGTTCTTTTGTATTTGGATGTAAAAGTTTCAGAAACAACTTTTTAAGTCCTCTTTTGGAACTCTCTTCATTTTTGACGGTCTTAACCCAAACCTTGTTCTTTTGGCGAAATTTTCAATTTTTTAAACAAAATATCTGCAAGAGACTTTTCAAGAGAGATTGTTTCCTCGACTTTCAAAACCAAAAGTTTGCTAATGGAACAAAAAATCAATTATGTCGAAGACATTGAGAATATGTAGCGTAGCTACCACTAAGATTATTAAATACCAATTCAATAATGTTACTAATTTGATTCTATACTGAGGTATCTTTTGATAGGTGAAGGTTGACAAATTTGATAAACTTTCTTCTTATTTGAGACCTATATGAACTCGCTAGCATCGATGCATGGTCCACATTGAATAGTTGATTAGTTCACAAAGTAGTGCTAAGAAAAATAATCTGGTGAAGTAAATAAATTCTCCCGGCCAATAAATAAATTATGAGCAAATATATATATATGTGTATGTATATATATAATAAATAACATTTATCAACTAGTGGTGTTTGATGGTCCACATTGAATAGTTGATTTGTTCACAAAATTGTGTTAAGAAAAATAATCTGGTGAAATAAATAAATTCTCCCGGCCAATAAATAAATAAGGAGCAAAAAAATATGTTTGTATGTATATATATGTGTGTGTGTATTCATATATATATATATATATATACTAGCTGTGTTCGTTCATCGAATTCTATCACAGATAAAATTCTGGAAGGGGAGTAATGTGGCTTAACTATCACTATATAAATATTAAATACCATACGAATTCACTAGTACATAAGACATCTTGACTTGATTCTAAACTGGGGTACCTTTTGATAGATGAAGGTTGGCAAATTTGATAAACTTTCCCCTTAAATACGTCAGAATTAAAGAGCATTCTGAAAGAGGACTCGAGAAGTCGTTTCAGAAACTTTTATAGACGAATACAGAAGGATATTATGATGGGATGAAGGTTACTTTGAAACGCATAATTTTGGTTATGTTATTCACATAATATTTTTAAGAGTTATTAGATCAGGTTTGGAAATTAATAGCTGCACCTTGTAGTGTGCAGAAATAACTGTGCAAGATAAGGTTATTAAAATATATAGCAAATTAGCTTCGTGTCTCAGTTTTTATAAGGGAGGAACGTAGCACCTAATTATGTATATTAAATTTACGTATATGTTATGTAAATCATTTTCACGTATGTGGATGTTTTACGTGTCTGCAAAACTCAAAATTAAAGAGAATATTTGTAAAAAAAGGTTATTAAAAAATTAACTAGAAGGGAAATTATGTCATTTAGTACTTCTGTTATAATTCTACTGTTGGTATAAATACTATAGCTCCTCCTTGCATTGCAATTTATTTTTTTTAGGGGGGGATCAGAGGAGAAACTAAAGTATAGTAAGAGTTGTAATTGTATAGTAAAAAAATAATGTCCCAGTATATTAATTCTAATTTTTTAATAAAACTATCAACTTTGATTGAAGCTTTGCTCTTAAATAAAATTAACTTCTGTTGTTATACCTAGAGTTTTTATATCTAAACAAAATGATGACCAGGGTGCGTAGCGTTTTTTAAAGGTGCTTATTTTCGGTTTTTAAAAGCCCTTATAGGTACTTTTAAAAAGTGCTTAATTTTCCCTTTTCAAAATGAGATATTTTTTCTTTACCATGTTGATTTTCGCACTGAATTATTCAGACTGAAATTGTTCTATTCAACGTTTTCACAATTAATTCAACCCCAATTTATTTCTATGTACCGTTGGTTCGTAGCGTATGAAAACGCCAATCGTTTTACATGTTTGATGAAATACTTAGGAGTGACTTTGTTGCATTTCGCAAGAGATTCTCAATTTCAGACTGCATTTCCCGCCCCTCTGAAATCGAACCAAAAAATCTCTCGAATTTATATGATATTTTTTTACAGTGCTTAAAATTATTTTTTAAGTGCTTATTTTTTGTTGGAAAATTAAGCTACGCACCCTGATGACTGACAGGTGCTAAATTGCCCAGATTTGTGAGCAAAAGAGTATGATAGCCTTTATTTACGGAAATAGTTTCTCTTAATATCTCCCTGTCATATTTCGTGTCAAAATCATGTTAGCTCCTTCAAACTGTGTTAATTTTTTTCCCTTCCTAGTTTAAGGATCTAGGTCGCAAAACTGAATAAGTTGATTGATGGCAGTGGTACAAGTAACAAAATTTCTGTAGTGGCATCTTTTTTTTTCATAATTTGTAGTGTGTAAGGCAAAACAAATACCCACTAGTTGGTAACGATTGCTGGCAACAAAATTGAATGCTAGTTTAATAAAGGAACAAAATGCAAACTTAATAATTTTTCAAATTTGACTGATGCAATACTTACCAAAGTCCTTCCTTGGAACATATTTTGCGCTGTAACTCTCAATCTATTGTGCGCAAAATAAAAAACGGACCTACTTGAATAACTTTTGAACTAATTGGATCTTCACTTTCTAGAACTCAATCTTGATGGTTCGAGGAGGTGACCTCAAATATGACAATTAATTAGCGCAGGCGATATTTTAAGTTACGAAATCATACAGAAAAATATAATTTTTCTAAATAAACGTACCTTTTTTCAACGGATTCATAACCCCCTCCCAAATTATAGAAGGTAGCTGCAATCTGGGAAATATGGTCCCCTTTATGTTAATTTTACTTTTAGCGTATTTCGTCATATCTCGAGAACTTTCAAAGCTAATTGCATACAATTATAAAATTCATTTATCCGAAGATAATTCTGTATCTGTACAAAAAATAACTTCTAGTAAACATTTATTTTTTTAATATTAGTCGAAAACATTTTGAATTGTATAGGTATACAATTTTTTACATCATTTTAAATAATATTTTTTTATGTGGCAAAATTCAAACTTTGAGTGAAATCTGTCGAATAGCTTCTGAGTAATCAATGCATGCCTATAATTTTAAGATTCTTCAAAATGAAGATGTCAATGCACACAATGATTCGATTCTACCTTTCAGTTACCCATGCATCATTACTCTTAAAACAATATTTTTAGATATGAGAACTCTAGTTTTACTTAAAATCTATTATTAACCTCTTCGTCCCTGAATTGGTCAAAGATACTAGGAATTACATTTAATAATATCAAAAGATTCATTAATTTTTTTGCTGCAAATAGAATAAATAAGAATAATGCAATAAGAATTTTTACTTATTTTCTTTGCTGCGGACATACTGCCATTAATTGACCAAATTTGATACGCTGCTTCTATTCTTGTATGTTTTGTAATTAGAAAGCCAGGTTACGACGTTAAAGAAAAAAGGAATATAGAGTGATGAAAATATGTGTTCTAATACTAGGACGCTAGAGCCGAAGAGGTAAAAGTATGAAAAGAACAAACAACTTAAAAGAATAAATAAGAATTGTGACTTATTTTCTTTGCGGACATGCTGCCATTAACTAAGCAAATTCGATACGTTACTTCTATTCTTGTATGCATTGTTATTAGAATGCTAGATTACGAAGTTAAAAATAAGGAATATTGAGTAATGAAAATATGTGTTCTAATACTAGGACGCTAGAGCTATGGTATGAGAAAAGCTAACAATTTTAAGAAGAATATGCGAATGAATGAAATGAAAGAATGCTTCATAGAAAATGTTAATGAAAAAAAAAAGTAATTATATCATTTTTTTAAATACTTTTTTCTCTCTAGGAAAGAAATAATGGTTAGAAAGAAGAGGGCAATTTATTCAATGTAATGAGGTGCTATGCAGTACATTGTTAATGGTATTATTATTATTTTATTCTTTGCCTTGAAAGTTAAAGCAATGTTGTGATTACTTTAACTTGTTATAAATATTTTGTAGCAATATCCATTAATGTATAAACGTATCAATTTTTCTAATAAATGTATGAATATATCGTGTTTGTTCGAATGTTTCCGACTTTGCTTCCTCAACGTATGAACAAATCTGTCTCATGACACTTCTGCATGCATAAAATTTCAAAACACTACTTCTCGTAAGCAAAATCAAGAAGAATTTTTAAATAATAAAAATATATGTTACAGGAAATAATCGATACCTTGAAAAATTTCATTAAATGAATATTTCTTGCATTTTAAAAAGGAAGTATATAAAGGGAAATTTTGAAATATAAAACTAGAATGCATGATTTCTCAAAAATTATTTAATGCATTTTACATGAATAATTTTTACAGAGCTTTATATTGACCTCTTTACTTAAATACTTTTTTCTACAAATATTTGAAATAATTAAAAACTAAATTTTATTTAATAAAAAAAAAATCAAAAGCCTACGTATTCTTAAGACTAAAGGGGGGAAATTTTTTGTTTTCGATGCAATGTTCGAAATTAACTTAGAAATCCAAAAAAAATTGATCTGACGCCTGATACTAAGTTTTATGCCTAGTATTCACGAGAAGCAATCGAATTAACAGAAGCTGCACAACATGAAATCATTTAACAATGCTTTCCTAACTTAAAAAAATAATTTTCCTTAACCTTAAAAAAATAATAAATCTAAATTTTTTCCATTTCCAACAGCGCATTTACTTGAAAAATTTCTTTATTACAATTTTTCTGTGTACTAGAAATACAGAGCTAAGTTAGGCACTTCAATAGATCAAATACTAGATTTTCATTTCCTTAGCTTACATAATTCAAATAAATAAAACAAATTTTTAAAAAATTTCATTCAAAAACTTTTAGTTCTCAAGGGTGAGAGAGTTCACCTTCCAATGAGGCGATCCTGGTTCAAATCCCAACTATGGCTGGTCGATACGAATTCCGCATCCGAGTGCTGGCGTAAAATATCCTCAGTGGTAGACGGATCATGGGTTAGAGTCTCCTTGCAGTCAGGTTAACCGTGGGAGGTTCTCGTGGTCTTCCTCTCCGTGTAACGCAAATGCGGGTTAGTTCCATCAAAAAGTCATCCACGAAGGCAAGTTTCACCCAATACTTCATCCAGCCAGGAGTTCCCTTGTCTTATGGATTGGGCTCAAAATTACAAGGCTACGGAGTTGAACATTAGTAGTAGTAGACCGAAAAAATTGGGTAGGCTTTTCAAGGACGGTTATAAAATAAAATAATATTAAATAATTTGCTTAAAATAAATTATTCAAGCTATATGATTTAATGCATTTATAGTAAAATAGTAAACAGGACTTCCATTGCATATCCTTAACCTTGTTACCACTATCTATAAATAAATGGAATAAGCTTAAATAAATAATAATAGTTAAATTTTTTCTAGTTTTAGCTTTCAACGAATAATATGTTTCGTCCAAACAGATTTCAATTCTGGAAGAAACGAAATTTATTGAGTAGGTTTCTTGGAGCAATGTCATTCTTATCCTCTTGTGACAAAATATATAGGAAAAATTGGTTTTTCACAGCTTCTGTAAAAATTATGTTAACCTTCTTTCCGCGTATTTATTTATTTTTTTTTTTTTTAAAGTTTGAAAATTGCATATTATTTATAACATTTTTTAAAAAATCAGATGAGAATTCTAAAACTGACATGCCTTAGGAATCTTTTTTCAATTTTTAGTATTCGCTGTTTAACAAAATTAGGCATTTTACTAATAACAAGTTATCCTATAATAATATCTTAGGAATCGTGCTAAAGTAATAATTTTTTCAAAGTAAATTTTTTCAATATTTTTTTCTAAAAGAGCAACTTTCTTAAAATTAACTGTGTAATATATAAGTAAAGCGTCAAAATAAAATTGCTGTCCAAATTTAATTATTTTAAAACAAATCAAACAGTTGTGGTTTTTTAAGTTGCCTTAATGTGTATTTACTTTTTACAAGTCAAACAATAAAGTAAATAAATAAATAATTTGTTTGACGTTTTGCACTGAATAATTTTAACATAGAGAATGTTTTTAAAATCTTATCAGAACCTCTAAGTATAAACAAAATAGTTCTGTATATTATCAGGTAAAAAATCTACGTGGTAACATAAAGAAAGAGTAAAAGATATAATGAAATAATTAGTTGGATAGTTCTGTGAATATTAGTTCTGTGAATCACACGAGGCCAGGTAATTGAAAATTTAATTTCACAATTATGTTAGGACGACATTTAAGATACTGGGATATTTTATGACGTTCAAAAAGTTTGGCTACATATTCGACAGCTTTTCATGTTCGATGTTTTAATACTCCTCGTAGAGACTTATAAAACATCAACACTATTTAAGATAATCTATGTTGAAGTCACAAGAAAAAAAAAATCAATAATTTATCTTTTTTTTTCGTAAAAAAACTTTAGGGGTCCTCTGGAGTGTCCCTCATTCCAGAATGCTAATAAAGTCCATTCTTTATCTCTTCAGAATCCAGCATTTAGTGATATCCCAGATAGCAAAATAAGGTTTATTTCACTCAGCAAAAAACTTCTAATTTAAACCTAAAAAGGTTTTTTATGTGGTTTATGTGATCCTTCACAATCTGCTCTATTCTTATTGGTGTGCTCGACTTCGCGCGCAGGTCGTCGGGCTACCGAAGCGGGGGTGCCATCCCCTCCGCAGAGGATCAAAATTGTCATGGCATGTCTTTGGATCATCCTCCGGGATGCTTCCCAGACCGTCGCCAATAGCCCATTGTGCAGCTCTAGTGCGACGTAAATTAACAACAACAACAGCAACAACAACTATTCTTATTGGCGACGGTCTGGGAAACATCCCGGAGGANAAAAAAAGATGGTAGTAAATTTTTTTTAAACGCCAATAATAAGATAAACCACAAAAATAAGGCAAACCTGAAAACCGGTTTTTCGTTGCCATCGGGAAGATAGGACCTTCACTTCCTCTTGCGGGTTCCTCCTATCTACGGCACTAATCAGTCCACTGCGGGACCCATACAGCTTTAAAAATAATTTTTAATCCTTTTAGGATGAAAGGTTTGAAACTGCAATATTTTTGCTTTATTGAAAAGTGATTTTTAGTGCAAATATTTTCTTGAGTATAAAAAGAAAAATTCCGACAAGGTTACCGTAAGGTTTGATGCTTTCTGGGATCATAAACTTATCCTTCAATCCTCAGATCCCGAGGGTATGCGGTATTGGTTCTCGTTAAACTGCTCTACCGTAAAGTGCTCGACTTGGCTTGCAGGCCGTCAGGCTACCGGAGCGGGGGCGCCATCCCCTCTGCAGAGGATCAAAATTGTGATGGCATGTCTTCGGATCATCCTCAGGGATGTTTCCCAGGACGTCGCAATAGCCCATTGTGCAGTTCTAGTGCGACGTAAATGAACTACAACTGACTTAACTGCATTTTTCTGCTAGATATCTAGCCTCAACCATAATCTTCATGAACAGAGAGCTATAAACGAACTAATGCATATAGCTCGTCGCACTTTTCTACAATGTAAATAGTTTAGATTTTTGGAAGTGAACTTAAAGTAAAATTGTGAACTCTGAACTGATTAATCATAATGAGTAAACGTTATTTATGAGAAAAGATTTGTTTTGATATCCCCTGTATTTTTCTATATTATGTGTCATTACATGGTGCCTGGGGACATAATCAAACTTAACGTTGGCGGAACGAGGTGAAAAATATAATTGTATATTTTGTTGCAAAGAATTAATACATTTTGAATGAATTTATGACAATGTTTCGAATTTTTATAGTATTTAAATTATAATAACAAAAATTACTCATTTAAGTAATAATGACCTAGTTTTTTATAGTTTAAAGTACTTTATGCCTGCAATTATTTACAAGAAAATTTTAATAACTGGTCTTATTCTGAATGCTTAACTAGGTCAAGTCTGTGGAACTAATCAAAACCATAACATGATGAAATATTTACAAATTTTTAGGAAAAATAAATATTCTAGGCGCCAAATTATTCACTGAAAGTATTCAGAGATCTGTCCAGACATTTTGTGAAAGGTCCTGTTTTTTTAAAATTGTGAAAAAATTACTCGTAATTTGTGAATATAAAATAAACGTTAAGTCACATTCTTTCAACCAGGGTCCTGCTTTTATGAATTTGTGCACATACGGTCCTGTTATTGCAAAAAAACTTTTTCAAGAAGTTTTTAAATTGTAAATAGACATAAGATTATGCTCAACACTGTAAAATTATAATAAAAAATAAATTTTCAAAAATAAACAGCAATTGCTTCATCTAAATTAGGGATGCAACATACAAATATTTGGTATTTAGCCTATCCTGTTGAACGCAAAATATTCATTTCGGACGAATAATGAAAGAAGCCTCTGCCGAAGAAAAAACATAATTCGTTACATCCATCTTTCTTTTTTTTCCCCTGGGAAGGATTTATTCGATTAACAAAACAATAATGAAGGTAAACAAATTTGTGAAGGGTCCGATTTTAAGAAAAATCATTATGTGAAGGATCCGTTTTTTTGAAAAGGTATTTTGCGAAGGATTCATTAAGGGACCCAAATTTCTTCTAAACAGACCCCTGGTATTGTAGTATTTTCTTTTGCTCTGTTGTTATGTNACGAATAATGTAAGATGCCTCTGCCGAAGACAAAACATAATTCGCTACATCCATCTTTCTTTTTTTTCCCCTGGGAAGGATTTATTTGATTAACAAAACAATAATGAAGGTAAACAAATTTGTGAAGGGTCCGATTTTAAGAAAAATTATGTGAAGGATCCGTTTTTTTGAAAAGGTATTTTGCGAAGGATTCGTTAAGGGACCCAAATTTCTTCTAAACAGACCCCTGGTATTGTAGTATTTTCTTTTGCTCTGTTGTTATGTTACTGTAGACAGAAAAATGAATTTATCATTTTTAGTTTCTTGCTGGTCGCTGCCTAGACTTGGCGATTATTCTGCCGTAGATCAGGATACGGAAATCTCCCCCCACCAAGATTTGCGCTCTCTTCTGACGGATCTATCGCGGTGGCAATTTGAATTAACAGTATGATCCTAGGGGGTTTGGCCGGGTGGATTACCTACTTGGTTAAAAATTTTTAACCTTAACAATGAAGCAGCTTGCATTATCTTTTCATTTTTCAAAATAAAAAGTGGTTAATTGAAAAGTGGGTTTTTTGACATAAGGACATAAAACCGCTAATTGTAAAAAACTTGTCAACCCTGACTGAAACATTGTCAGTTGAAGAGCTATTTACCTAATTTAAGCAAGGTCCATTATAGCAATTACAGCTTTCTTATCATTTAGAATGATATTAAGTAAATAATAATAGTTTGAAATAAATTAAAAACCAAAATTTGAACACATTGAAAAATAGCCACTGATTAATGTTATTGATTAAAAGTAATTTGCAGTTTGATTCATTATTACTGATCTGATGATATTTATTAATACTTTGAGAAATTTGTTTGGAATTTTAATGGTAGCTTGCCCTGTGGCAGAATTTTTTTGAGCTATCTGTGACTAAACTCTCTAGCACTAACACCTTTCTGCAAGATACTTTTAATACTAACAAACATATGTGTTATTAATTTAAAACAACAAATACGCTGTGTTTACAACAAAACAGAAAAACTATATTTTTCTTAATTGAGCATGTAATAATTTTTTATTCTAATATTATGGGTGATATTCTCACATTTTGTTGGGGGGAAAATGCACAGATTATTTACTTCTTCGACATTGCAATAATTATTAAATACAGTGTAACGTCCCATATCCGGACGTCCCTTTTCCGGAAGGGTCGATTTCCCGGACACTTTTTAACAATCAAAATAAACAAACATTTCTTCATCTTCCCTTCTCCTTAAAGAAGAAGAAGAAGAAGAAAAAAAAACGAAGTCTTTTGACAGGTTTTTCCCCTTCTCAGCTACTAGAGATCTATGCATTGAACCCATGAATCAACAGAAAAGAGAACAGAAGATCTACTAAGACCATGACACTCCTCCTCTGGAATGCAGGAAAGAGAGGGGGATTTGTTTTCAAAAGAGCACAACTGAGTCCCCTCCCTCCCCCTTCTTTCCTATGCAACTGGTTAGTAAAAGAGGCATTTCCTGGAACCTTTTTATTTGAGTGTCAGGGGAAGAAGAAATACTGTGAAAAAGGGTAAACACAGCAAATGTTAAAGTGAAGGGGGAATCCCCTGTAGTCACACAAGAAAAAATAAAGAGAACCCAATCAGCATGCCACGCCTTTATGCTTGATTGATAGCCAATGATGGGAGAGAAAATAAGAATTTGTCACTACCCCGCCCTCAACTTGAATGACAAGTAAGGAGGAAATGAATTTTTCTTCTCCACCTACCCACCTTAATGAATGACGGGAATTTCCCCTTCTTGCTTGAATCGTTCTAGTTCAAAATGGCGGAGAGAGCAATTACTATTTTCATAACTGAATATTTTTCGTTTTCTATATTTATTTTTAAAATAGCAATAATTATTTTTTTTCTAATATTTTGTTTATGATTGATTAGATATCATTCTAATACTAAAACATTATTGCCCGAAAAATAATGTTTATTTATTTTCTGCTTCTTAGATTCAGATCATTTTAAGCTTTGTTTACCTTGGAGGTCAATTATACGGAAAAATCAAATATACGGACTTCGGGAAGTCCTGCCGATTCCGGATACGCGACTTTCCACTGTATATTGAAATCCATAGTAGTAATTGTCAAAAAAAAAAAAAGATAGACGTCGAAATTATTAGCAATACGTTTAATAGATTACGACGATTAATAGCAATAACTTCTAAAAATTCAATAGAATTATTGCCTTAAAAAATAAAATGCACGATTCGAATTTTCCATATTGTTTGCAATATATCTCGATGTTTAAAAACCACATGAAAATCAATATCACTAACTTCTAAAAATACAGTCAAAACGTTACATCGATTTACAATACTATCGGTGTAAATTGAGCGTGTCAAAAAGTGATTATTTAAATGCATGATTCAAATATTACATGTAAATTTCAATAAAAAAGAAGAGTAAAATTGTTTATTTTTCAAAAGAAAAATCTTTCTGCAGGAACTCTGTTAAGTTCTGCGACAATGTCGCTGCGATTATGTCACGGGGATATCTTTTTAATAAAAAATTTCCAAAATAAGTGAATATTGTCTACTTTGGTCCAGACTAAAGAAGCCCACATTGTCTTAACTACATTTTTATGTGGTTTTTCCCCCTTATTTCTAATGAACTTTGAATCAGGGAGATTAAAGGACATCTTTACACTTTACCTCACTAATATAAGCTTTGACATAGGTACCACTCTTCAGTTCTCAGGACTGAAATCGGTCCTGAGAAAAAGTCGGTGGTCTAAAATTTATCCTCCAATTAATATCTATTTTCAATTTGTTTTTTAGATAATTTTCAAAAAATATTTTTTCTTTTTTTACCTTAAAAAATATTTTCTGTGATAAGTGAATGAAAGAGTTGATTATTACTTTTTTCATAATTATTGCTGTATCCCCTTGCAAATGTCCTCATGATGGAATTGCAGCAACATTGTCTCAGAACGCTACAGATCCAGGTAGTAGAATCGTGGCGACATTGTGGCAGAACATTACTGAGTTCTTGCAGAAAGATCTTTTATTTGGAAAGCAAAAAAGTTTGGTTTTTTTGATCTGCAGAATTCTTTGAAATACCTTTCGAGCATATCGGAGGTGCAAGAAGAACTTTTTGTTGAGAATAAAAAAAATTCCGCAATGATTGTCTAGCTAGAGTTTCAGATTGGTATTATAAAATGTAATTTCTAAATCGCAAAATTTTTTAAAAAGTTAACTATACAAGTATCTTTTTTTAGAACGGGAGAATATATATTAGAAGTATTCTTTTAGATGTAGATTAAAAAAGATTCTTGCATTTATAATTAAAAAAATATATATACTGTTTTATTCTATACATGAAGGCTTTTATTTGTAAACAGAAAGTGCTTCTGTTGCTTTAAATTAGTAACATATATATTTGCTACTATTGAAAATGCATTTCAGAAAGGTTATAATACTAGAGAGAATTATCGCAGAAAGCTTGAAAAAATTCTGCCATAGGGCTACAGATTTCTTGCAGAAAGAAAGATATTTCTTTTGAAAAGTAAAACAAAATTAAATTTATTTCTACAGAAATTTACATATAATATTTGAATCATGCATTTAGACAATCACTTTTTGATGTGTTCAATTTACGCTGATAGTATCGTAAATAGATTTGATTGTATGTACTGCAGTTATTGATATTGATTTTCACATGGATTTTAAATATCCTGATCAAACAATATGTAAAATTTGAATCGTGCATTTGAGTATTTACTTTTTAAGGCAATAATTCTATCGAATGTTTGGCAGTTATTGCGATTGTTTTCTCCATAGTTTCTAAATCCCATATTTTTATACAATATTATTTATTACAACAACCTAATCTCGAAATGAAAATACGCATTTCAGGAGTCCAATTCGCGTGATTCAGTCGATCTTTTTTTAACCAATTACTACTACAGGTTTCGTGATTTTTAATTATTTTTTTATTGTGATGATTATTTACAAAATGTGAAGAAAGAAATAATTTGTGTGTCTACCTGCCAAACAAAACGTGAAAATATCACCCGTAATATTAAAATAAAAAATTATTACTTGTTCAATTTAAAAAAATTCTATAGTTTCTTTTGTGTAAACACAGCACTTTTGTTATTTTTTATCTGGTTTGCAAAAAAACCACCTACCCAGTAAAACCTGGGCAGGTTTTACTAGGCAAAACCCACTCTGAAAATCCCAGTAAAACCCACCCTAAAGTGGGTTTATCTAAAATTGATTTCTTTTTTATTCTCTGTTATATTAAAGAGCTATTCTATTGAAATATATATGCAGCAGCATGCGAGAAACTAAAAAAAAAAAAATAATAAATAAAACATCACAGAAAGGAACCAGCTCGAAAGGTATAACTCATAGCCACCCCTGGGCAAACTTTTTTTTTTAAAAATGGAAGTTTAAAATCCATTCGGCACCTTGGCTATTGTAGTTAATGTGACAGATCACGATACGAAAATATTCCAGAGTAGATGAATAAAAGGTGCTGTATTTTGAAGTGTACAGCAAAATTTCAAAAAGGAGAAGAATTTTATTTATTTATTATTTTTTTGTAAGTTGGATGATAAGTTTGCCTATGTTTATCTACATATTTACTTAGTTTATTTTTATTTTTCTCCGTAAATAAATAAAAATGTATTCTGTTTAATATTGCATACTTTGACGGCAAAAAAAATTTATTCCCTAGAAAATATTTGGCTCAATAGTTGATGGCTAATAATTTTTAGCTTGTTATAAAATACAATTTTTGTACCTTTAATATTCCTATTTTGACAGCTTCTTTAAAAATAGTTATAATGACAGACTTCTTACAATAGGCTGTACTGGTTATATTTAGCTTTTACTGTATTTTTTATATTATGCTTATGCTTCATCATGTCATTGTAGTACTATGGTAGTTAATTATGTTTCTTTATGTGTGCAGATTTGCAACATCTCGCCAAACTTTAACATGGGTGCCAGATTCTTTTTTTACCAGGTAAGAATAATTTTTATATAAGAAATCTCAAAATTTAGTAAAGTTAACTTTTAAAATTAGAAATTTATATTTTATTGTTAAAATTTTGTTTTGCTGTTTTACTAGTTTTGAAGAGAAGAAAGTGTCTTTACTCATTCAAAAGAGAAAAAAAAGTAGGATATTTCCTAAAAATTTTTTTTTAATACAGTACGAAGTCCCATATTCGAATGTCCGTTTACCTGCCTATTTTCCATACACTTTTTAACAATCAAAATAAACAAAACCCTTTTCCTTTTAAAAAAAATTGTTTTTTTTTTTACTCTAAAAAAAAAAAGGTCCGCTAATTCGCACTCTACTTTATGGTTTTTTCGACACTTGTGATTTTTGTCTGATTTTAATCCGATTTGCGCTACAATAGGGGAAAAAAATATAGTTATCACGGAAACAAAATTTGGCAGTTCACTACAGTGCTATAAAAGTCTTATATTTTTTTCCCTTCTCACATTGATGCGTATAAGGATTATTCAGAATCAATTCAAAATCAGAGTGTGCAAAAATTTCACATTTTCAAAAAAACTGCGCATTCAAGATTATATTGTCCCGAACAAAGCGGGTCCTTAAGTGATTCTTCAAAAGTGCAATTTGGAATTCGCGGAACGTAATAATATTTTTAAAAAATGAAATTTAAATTTTTAAAATTGTGGTTAAATCTTAAACTGTTGAAAATTAGATTGACAAAACCATGTGAACAATAAAATCTTTACAAATGTAGTGCATCAAAAAGTAATACTAAATAAATGTGCGATTTGAAGTTCCCCGTGTACGATAATTAAAGAACTATGAAAATAGGTAGCAATAACTGACAAATTGTAAATATATGTGGGATTTCAAATGAATCGTCAATAATGAAATGAAAAATATGCGATTCAAAGTTTGCCAAACGAAATGGTATCGTATTAAAATATTGAAATTTTAAAAACTGAATGAAAATCCATTTTCATAACTACTGGAAAAATCAGTCTACAAAACCTCACGGATTAACTGTGGCATTAATATTACTGGGAATTCATAATATCCCAATAAGAGTTCTAAGGAAATGTCCAAGTATGTATAAATAAGAAGAAACTCTCATATATTGTATATGAATATAAACTAAAGTAAAACAATTGGTTGAAACATCACTGATATCTTTCCAGCGCTTATATTTGATTGGCCCCTAAAGCTTTCATTACACTATTGTCCTATACGCTATTGTCCGTTTATACACTATCATCCTTTACTGGGTAGAAATGTCTAGATTTAAATATGAAAAAAAAATGTTTGTAATGAAGATTTTAATGTTGATAATTAAATTTTTATTAATTAAGCATGCTGAGCGGAAGGATATCAACATTAAAGGATGAAACTGGAGCCGTAAGTTTATTTATTTATTCCCTGCTTTTATTTTCTATCATTTTAGATTTAGAAAAAAGTAGACTATGTTATTTAGTGAATTTGTTCTTTCTAATGAACTTTTTCCTACTGTGTTTTTGTATCAGAATTTGTTTACCATTTAATTTCTTTATTTTTAGTACATCCTCGATTTAATTTTAGTTGTTATTTTGATTCACTTCTACCCAGTGGCAGAATTTTTTCGGGCTTTCCTCTCTAATACTGATATCTTTCTGCAAGACACTTATAAAAATAACAAATATACATGTTACTAATTTAAAGTAACAAAAGCTTTAATGTCAAAAAAAAATTAGAATTAAATAAAATTATTTTTTTTATTGAATATGTAATTTTTTTTCTCTAATATTATGGGCCATATTCTCGCATTTTGTAAGAGAATAACACACTATTTTCTTTTTCACATTTTGTAATTCATCACATTAAAAAAATAATAAAATCACGTAATCCTTGGCAGTAGTTACTACTGCAAAAAAAAAAAGATCGACAATGAAATCACACAAATCGGACTCTTCAAAAAGCGGTTACTAAAATGCATTCTTTCATTTTGGAATTCAGTTGTTTTAATAAATAATATTGCATTTGAAATATCGGATTGTAAAAGCTATGTGTAAATCAATAGTAATAACAGCATAAAAAAAATAGAACAAATATTTCTACAGAAAAGAAAACCAAATTTTTTACTTCATTACTTCTTATTTTTCATTATTCTCAAATGAAAATGGAAAAATCACAAGCATATTTTTCCACTCCGATATGCGTGTGTAAGGCATCTTTGAATATAATTCTGAAGAAAAGATAAAATCTTTCGGAAATTTCTGCAGGAAAGGAAAGTAAAATTTTTTATTTCCCAAAGGAAAAATCTTTCTGCAAGTACTCTATAATGTTCTACGACAAAGTTGCCGTGTTACCTTGATTCTGCCACGGGTCTTCTCTATGTATCATAGTTCATAGCGTTTTTAAGAAGTGCTTAAAAGTGCTTGTTTTCGATTTTCGTTTTTAAAAAGCCCTTAACGGTGCTTTTCTGTTGGGCGTTTTTAAAAAGTGTTTCTTTTTCCCTTTTCGAAAATGAGATTTCTTTTCTTTACCGGGTCAATTTTCACCACATATTTTTCAAAAGTGAAGTGTGCTTTTCGCGTTGTTCTATTCAACGCCTCCACAATTCATTCAACCACAATTTATTTCAGCATACCGTCGGTCCATAGCGTTTGAAAGCATTCATCATTTTACATGTTTGATTAAATACTTGTGAGTTTGCATGTGCGTATAGTGAGCTGGGTTCAGGGAGATTCTTGCACTCTTATCTTATGTGGAACTCTGCTGCATTTTGCAAGATATTCTCAATTTCAAGCTTTCTTTTCCACCCTTTGAAATCAAACCGAAAAATCTCTTGATCATTTTTTAAAGGCTAGTATAATCAAGGAAAGAGTTCTTTGTCAAAAACTAGTTATTTTATCATGATCATGTAAAGTCTTTGAAAATTATTTTGCATTGTGTTAATGTATACTATATAGTGCTTAAAAATATTTTTTGAATGCTTAAAAAGTACTTAAAAGGTGCTTATTTTTTGTTGAAAGATTTGGCTACTCACCCTGTGTATATAAAAGCGAAAGTCTGTATGTTTGTTACAAATGACTCAAGAAGAAGAGTGCTGATTAGGATCTTGTATTTTTCTACAGTTTGCAAAGTTTTGTATGTAAATTATAGTTACAGATTAAATTTTCCTTAATATGCTTTGAAGGTCTTCACTGATATGCTTTGCAATTTGTGTTAAAGTTTGCTCATATTTTTTGGATCATTCAGGGATATTTTTTATCCCTCTATGCTGAGTTGTTCTTATGCAGTACCGAAAAAACGTATTCTCCCAATGTTCTAAAGTGAACTGTTAAGGTAACAGCCTTTTTACAAAATGTTGGGTGTTGTAAAAAGTCATTAGGTTTTTTTTCTTCTAAATTTTTCAAAGTTATGTATTTATAGCAATTTTAATCAACGATATTCTTTCCCTTTTGTTTGACAACCTTATGCCATTGTTTGGTGAGCTTTATAACTATCATTGTAGAAGGTATTTGCAAAAAGCTGAGCAAGGTGCTGATTAAAAGCCTCATCTGAATTTAACATTATTTCACACAAGAGGTATTGAAGAGAGCAAAATAGGTGGAAATCTGACAGCACAGTCTGACAAGTAAGGTGGGTAGGGTAACACATCCCATCTTAAAGATCTTTGATTTTTTCATGTTGAATTTCAGGAATAGAAATACTGATATTCACTTAAAAAGTAACTTAAATGTCATCAAAATATTTTAATGCTGAGTGTCCCTTCATCAGTCAGCCTGTTCTGCAAGTAGCCCTTCAATCTGAAAAGTTGTGCACACTTCTAGTTCAACAAGTTGTTCAAATTTGCCAAAGTTAAAAAGTTTTATAAAACGCTGTCACAAATATTGAATTTATTGATTTTAGAAATTTTTTGTGATTTCAGGTCTTGAACATTTCATAACTTTTGTGTAGTAGTATTATATAAAAAGTATGCTTTTTATGTGAAATAAATTATCTTGTGTTTTATGTACTGAAAAACGTTTTCTTTTTTAGATTTTTATTGATCGAGATCCGAAGTTGTTTCACATTATTCTAAATTTTATGAGGACAAAAGACATTGACTTGAAGTAAGTTCTTATTTTCTTTTTTAAATTCTCATAAAAATTTTTTTTTTAAATATTTTTCCTTGAATGTTCTGTGTAGCAATGGTATATTAATTAAAAATATTAAAATTAATATTTAGAATTTAAAAATATTAAAGAAAAGTTCCTTTAGTGAATAAAATTTTAAGACATGGTCGAATTAAAAAGAAATATTAAAGTTAAATATAATAGTAAATTATTAAATTGAAATATATAAATCGATCTTTTGTGCATCCCTAAAAGAACTTATATGTATAAATGACAAAAAAATTTTTTGTAAATCCCCGTGACAGAATCACGGCAACATTGTCGCAGAACGTTACAAAGTTCTTGCAGAAAGATTTTCTTTTGGAAAGCAAAAAAAAAAAAAAAAAAAAAATTACCAGAAATTTTAGCGAGATTTATTTTTACATAGATTTTATAACGTTTTTATTAGCACTATTTTTATATTACAGTGCAACCTCGAAAATCCGTACTGATGGGGGGTTTGGAAGGTCCGGATTTCCGAAATGTCTGGATTTTAGATACCTTACTTAAATTGATAGAATTATCGAAGTTTCGAATTCGCCAGGCCGATTTTGCGATTAAACACGCGTGTGTAAACCTCCAATATCAATTTTAACAACTTGACATAAATATACACTTTAAATAATAAATAAGAGACATTAAAAATGAAACTTTCGTCATTTCCCCCGTAATTGATCGCCTAGATAATATAATATTAGCAATTGAAACTAAAAATATATGCTTAAAACGCGAGCTGAATTTCAACTTATAACTGAAACAGATGCTTCTAGACTAGACTGTACCAGCTGATACTAATCGTTTTTTTGTTGGGGCATGAAAGAACTTCTCCCCAACTCAGATGCTTCAAGGTCAAGAAATAACCAGTTTTCTTTCTCCACAAGGGGGAAAAACAAAGTGGTAGAAGAATTCCTCCTCCTGCATGCCTTATCTATGGAAGAATATAGAGGGAAGTCCCCATTCTTCATTAGCTATGAGCTTTCATTCACTCCCCACCCCTACCTCTTCATCTACTGCTTCATTGTTGAAGAGTTGTGGTTTTGCTCTCTTACATGTAAATTTTTATTGTAAGCATTTTTGTTTTTCTTTGGAATATTTTTTCTGACAAACTGGACGTAAGAGTCCGAATTTTAGAGATTTTCGGATTTTCGAGGTCGTACTATATTAACGTTTTTATTTTATTAACGTTAACGCTATTTTTTCTGTAAGCAATCCCTTTTGCGGATTTATATTCACTTTTTCCCCTTTTACGGATGTTCATATTATTATCTTTGTCAGGCGGTGGTATGCCAGTTTGTTTATAGTTCATTGATCTTATAACGTTTTTATTAACACTATTTTTATATTATTGACGTTTTATTTTATTAACGTTAGCGCTATTTTTTCTGTAAGTAATACTGATATTCTTTTAATGTTTATGTATTCGTTTAATGTTCATTGTTTTAAATATTCTGTTTAATTTTTCTTTTAGCAATATTGATATTACCATTTTAAGGCATGAAGCAGAATTTTATGGAATATCTCCTCTTGGTAAGTTAAAGCTTTATATCAAAATATTGTATGGCAGTTTTGATTTTACTTGCAATGAATTATGTGTGTGAATAAAATGTTTAATCTTTTACATTATTATATAGGGTGAAATTAACCGTTGCATACCTGCCAAGTCTCCTATTTTTTAACGAAAACTCTTGTATTTTATGGCGATTTCCTGTTTACCTGTATATTCTCAAATTTCTCCGTATTTGTTGAAGACATTAAAAAAAAAAAAAAAAATTATAATAAAATATCCACTTATGGCAGAAATACTTCTCTTATTCCTGAACAGATGGTACTAATGCCAGTACTGAAGTATGTTGAGTGCTAATTGTTTAGGTCGAGCCATGATGGCTCAGGAGATAGATTGTTTGCCTTCCAATGAGGTAAACCCCGGTTCGAATCCCAGCTATGATTTGTCGATATGCATTCCGCGTCTGGCTTGCACCGACCACAGTGCTGACGTAAAATATCCTCAGGGGTAGACGGATCACAGGTAAGAGTTCCCTTGTCATCAGGCTAACCGTGGGAGGTTAAATTTTTGTGGTTTTCCTCTCCATGTAACTCAAATGTGGGTTAGTTCCATCAAAAGCCCTCCACGAAGGCAAATTTCTCCCTATACTTGATCCAGGAGTTCCCTTATCTTCTGGATTGGGTTCAAAACTACAAGGCTACGAAGTTGGACATCACTAGTCGTAAACCCAAAATTGGGTCGGTTAGTGATATCTACATTATTTTATTTATCCATTGTTGTCAGGTNGATTCACGACAACATTGTCGCAGAATGTTACAAAGTTCTTGCGGAAAGATTTTCTTTTGGAAAGTAAAAAAAACAAAAAAACAAACAAATTACCAAAAATTTTAGCGAGATTTATTTATACATAGATTTTATAACGTTTTTATTAATATTATTTTTATATTACAGTGCAACTTCGAAAATCCGGACTGATGGGGCTTTTGGAAGGTCTAGATTTCCGTAATTTCTGGATTTTAGATACCTTACTTAAATTGATAGAATTATCAAAGTTTCGAATTCGCCGGGGCGATTTCGCGTTTAAACAATCGTGTGTAAACCTCCAACAACAATTTTAACAACTTAACATAAATATACACTTTAAATAATAAATAAGAGACATTAAAAGTGAAACTTTTGTCATTTCCCCCCGTAATCGATCGTCTTAATAATGTAATATTAGCTAATAAAATAAAAAATATATGCTTAAAACGCGAGCTGAATTTCAACTTATAACTGAAACAGATGCTTCTAGACTAGACTGTACCAGCTGATACTAATCGTTTTTTTTGTTGGGGGATGAAAGAACTCCCCAACTCATATGCTTCAAGGTTAAGAAAGAACCAGTTTTCTTTCTTTACAAGGAGGAAAAACAAGGTGGTAGAAGAATTCCTCCTCCTGTATGCCATATCTATGGAAGAATATAGAAGGGAAGTCCTATATTCTTCCATATAACTATATTCTTTGTTATCTATACAGAGATGATAAGAATCACTGGAATTTCTTCATCAGCTATGAGCTTTCATTCACTCCCCACCCCTACCTCTTCATCTACTGCTTCATTGTTGGAGAAGAGTTGTGGTTTTGCTCTCTTACATGAAAATTTTTATTGTAAGCGAATTTTTTTCTTTGGAAATTTTTTTCTGGTGAACTGGACGTAAGAGTCCGAATTTTAGAGATTTCCCGGTTTTAGAAGTCCGTATTTTTGAGGTCGTACTGTATTAACATTTTTATTTTATTAACGTTAACCCTATTTTTTCTGTAAGCAATACCTTTTACGGATTCATATTCACTTTTTCCCCTTTTATGGATGTTTATTATATTATCTTTTTCAAGCGGTGGTATGCCAGTTTGTTTATTTGTACATAGATCTTACAACGTTTTTATTAACACTATTTTTATATTATTGACGTTTTTATTTTATTAACGGTAACGCTATTTTTTCTGTAAGTAATACTGATATTCTTTTAATGTCTTTTAATGTTTATGTATTCGTTTAATGTTTATTGTTTTAAATATTCTGTTTAATTTTTTTTTTAGCAATATTGATATTACTATTTTAAGGCATGAAGCGGAATTTTATGGAATATCTCCTCTTGGTAAGTTAAAGCTTTATATCAAAATATTGTATGGCAGTTTTGATTTTACTTGCAATGAATTATGTGTGTGAATAAAATGTTTCATCTTTTACATTATTATATATGGCAAAATTAACAGTTGCATACCTGCCAAGTCTCCTGTTTTTTAACGAAAACTCCTGTATTTTATGGCAATCTCCTGTTTACCTGTATATTCTCAAATTTCTCCATATTTGTTGAAGAAATTAAAAAAAAGAAAAAAATTATGATAAAATATCCACTTATGGCAGAAATACTTCTCTTATTCCTGAACAGATGGTACTAATGCCAGTACTGAAGTATGTTGAGTGTTAATTGTTTAGGTCGAGCCATGATGGCTCAGGAGATAGAGCGTTCGCCTTCCAATGAGGTAAACCCAGGTTCGAATCCCAGCTATGATTGGTCGATATGCATTCCGCATCTGGCTTCCACCGACCACAGTGCTGATGTAAAATATCCTCAGTGGTAGACGGATCACAGGTAAGAGTCCCCTTGTCGTCAGGCTAACCGTGGGGGGTTAGGTTTTTGTGGTTTTCTTCTCCATGTAACTCAAATGTGGGTTAGTTCCATCAAAAAGTCCTCCACGAAGGCAAATTTCTCCCTATACTTATTCCAGGAGTTCCCTTATCTTAGCTAGGAAGTTGGACATCAGTAGTCGTAAACCCAAAATTGGGTCGGTTAGTAATATCTACGTTATTTTATTTCTCCATTGTTGTCAGGTATGTTGTCACTGACTATAGGTTGACTAAATACATGAAATAGAGATTAAAAACTGCTTAGAAGGTTATTTTATATTGTTTCCTAATTTAAAGTTGGTTATCAAAAGTTTTGTTCATATTACTTATTTTTAAATTTATGACCAATATTTAAAAGTAATCATAATAATAGAATCTCATCAGTATGATTGTAACTAGTTCAAATTTATTTTGTTGCAAATAAATTTTGTAACTGTAATAAACATAAATTTTATGATGCAGTATTGGTTCAATAACTCAAACCTTAAATTTTGGTAGTTGTAAATGTTATACACAATGTTTAAATTTTATGAAAACCTAACTGAAGTGGTCAAGAAAATTTAACTTTTATTTTAGAAATGAACCTTGTAGTGTTTACCATATTTTAAAAAATACAGTTGACCAGAAACAAAAGTTCCTGATTTTGCCCTGTACATTGCAAGTTTTTAAAAAAGAAAAAATAATACATAGTGAAATGTAAATGCTAAAACTAAGATCATCAGAGGTTTATTAGTTTATCATCAGAGGTTAGGAAATTATGTTTAAAAAAAACAACAACAATGAAATCAAATTTTTCGGACTTAAATTAAATTGATTTAATTTTTTTACATTTACTAATCAAAACTCTGATAAAATATGTAAGTAATGCTTAATATTATGTAAAAAAAAATAGTATTAAGCATTACATTATGACTAGAACACTTAATATTTCTTACTAAAATGGTTAAATTCAATTAAATAAATTAATCACCAAACTAAAAAAGTCATTGTTATTTTAGTAAGAGTAGTTTAGTTAGAGTTGCAAATGTGTGCTTTATGCTAAGGCAGGAATGTCTTTTACGTGAGCACCTGTCGACGGCTGGTGATATTTTTGCTCTTAAGCCTAAACCCCTGAAATCATCAAAATGTGAATGTTACTCTTTAATAATATACTGTAAAATGGATAAACAACGTATATTGCATAGTTTTTTTTTATTTACTTGAGTTTTCTACATATTTGTGTATATGAAGTGACAGATTTTTACACTATGTATAATTTTAACCATGTTTTATATGTTTACACAAATTTTTGCTCAATTTCTGCTGCTTTGAGTTCAGTTAAACATTTTCGACACTTCGACATAGTAACAGTAAAAGCAAAGGAATTTGACGTCTACGAGTTCTGACTATCAATAGAAAACTGGATTGCGAACTTACATAACACTCTAGTAAAAATAAAACTCCCCCACTTACTATAATGAAATACTATCTTGAATTATACGATTCAAAAATATTTTTTTCCCCTCGTGTTTATATAATCATAAACCAAGTTCATGTTAGTCATGTATCTCTCATTGCGAGTAGAATGTTAAATCTGGATCTATCTGAAATATTATGGACATATAGTGCCATCTTGTGTCATTCTTTTTAAATCATGCCTGAACATTATCACAAATATGTAACAGCTGGAAGTGAACGATAAATCGCTCTAGCACTTTTTGAGATGAGAGCGTTTCCTGCTGGCATGATAGTCGACGTGAAAGGGTTCAACTCAATACTCTCATGAATTTTTACAGACATAGACGCCATTTGACTGTTAAATTTCAAATGAAGCATTAGAGCCGCAATTGCTCAGGGGATAGAGCGTTCGCCTTCCAATGAATTGAACCAGGTTCGAATCCTAACAATGGCTGATAGATACGAATTCCTCATCCGGCTCTCACCGACAACAGTACTGGCATAAAAGATCCTCAGTAGATCATGGGTTAGAGTCCCGTTATCGTCAGGATAACCATGGGAGGTTCTCGTCTTCTTCCAACGCAAATGCGGGTTAGAAAGTCTTCCACGAAGGCAAACTTCTCCCAATACTTGATCTAAGAGTTGCCTTGTCTTTTTGATTGGGTTCAAAATTACAAGGCTACGGAGTTGAACATTAGTAGTCTTAGACCCAAAATTGGGTCGACTGTTCAACAATAGTTATAAAATATAAAAATAAAATAAACTGAATTAATGTAAATCAGGAGACATAAAAAAAATCTAAGTGTTATGCTTCCTTTTTTTTTGTAATTTGGTTATGTTTGATCTGATTTTTTTTCCTCTCTTTCTTTTTTTTTTTAAAAATTAAAAACCTTTTTACTATGAACTGTGGAATGGTTTCTAATTTTGAGTGTTACTTTTAGTTGCCAGTGAAACTAGAAACTAGGGATGCCAACTAGTTACGCTTTGTGGGAAAACTTCTTATAGTAGCGAAGTTTATATTTTAATGTATGACTCTTTGTTCAGTAAATTTTCTTAAAATTTTTTTTTCACCATTACATATTAATGTTTCAAAAGATTATATAAAATGCTACTATGTACTACTACTTTCAGTTTGAAGCTTTTAAAATGTCAGCAAAATTCTGAAAGCTTTGGTTTTTAATTTTCTTTTTCTCTATAAAATATTTTGGAAAAAGCATGACCGTTGGCAGCCCTGATTTTGTTAAGTCATTTTAACTATATATGATGTTATTTTTCAGTGAAACGGCTCATACTTTGTGAAGATTTAAACCGGTCTTCCTGCGGAGATGTGTTATTTCATGGATATTTACCTCCAGCTAGTATGTGATCTAGAGTTTTTTTACTTTTCTTTTCTTGGAAAAGAAATTTAAATGTCTATTTTCATTATTATTTTATACTAAATGTTGTTGTCATAAATTTTCTGTTAAGCCCTGAATTTATTTATAAATATAAGGGGGATATAGTTGTTGTAAAATGTTTTTTTTTTTAAATTTTTTGTTTCAAATGCCCACCTGTGTTAACATTTCATCAATTCAGGCATTTACAGGGCATATTTGTTGGCCACTCTTTCAGGGGCACCATATTAGGTGGGCCAACGTTGCTCCCACGGTTAGGACAGAGAATGAAAGAGCATCCATGCTTGTTCGAATCCAGAACCTCTCCGATGCAAGGTCAGTTCCCTGACCCCTTGTAAATATGTAATGTAGTGTAAAAGTGGAAATGTACCTTGTTGTGTGTAAAATGTAATTAGATACGTTTATAAACTTGTATCAATGTTAATTTCTGCTATTCTTTAAGAACTTTTGAAAGCTGTTTGTTCTAACCAAACACCTCTGCTTGCCACTGTTCGCATCCAACTTCTTTGTGTCGTATACAATGTTGTTCTATTAATTCATTATTAAATTTGTTTTTTAAATACTTTATTTCATTATTACAACAACAAAAAATTCTTTGTTTCCAGCTGCTCCTTCATATGATGGTGTTCCAAAAAGTGGAGAGCTTAAAGAATCTACACATCCAAGAACAGAAAACAGTAGTCAACCAAGTTCAACGAGTAGTAGTAATGCAGCTGCTGCCGATTCAAGGCCAGGACTAGTATTTCGAATCATGCCCGACCACCAAAGAACTGCTTCAGTATCGGCAATCCGACCACCAGATGCCTGGCCTCCGCATTCTTCACTGTCACGTAGCTCGTCGGACATTCGAAATATCGGTAGAGGACATTCTAGGGCATCGTCTTTAGACATGAGACATTCCAGAAACTCTTCAGCAGATTTAAGCAAAGCATTTAAAAATGACATTGGATACTTGTTTAACAGTTCAGGTACAATATATTCATATCAGGTGCCTATAATTCTATTTTTGTTTCTTGCATTAGAAGCGCTTCCTCAGTTACATAGTCAAAAATAGTCGAACCTCGTTAACTCAAAATTCTTAGGACTATCATAATTCTTTATGTTAACCAGATTTCATCTTATCTGATACATGAAGAAAACAATTTATTATGTACTATTAGTTCATATTATGTACCAAACAAATTAAAATAAGCTTACAAATTTATAAATCGCAACTTTATTTTAACTATTTTATTTATTTACCCATCTCCTACTTCTAGCGAAGGTGAATAATAGAAATAGCTTTCCTCAAGATGAATGATTGGCATTTTTTTCACATGCTTCTTATCTGTGTTGTGTCCAGTTTCCTTTTATGTTAAGCGATTTTTCAGCTTGAAAATTTCATGTTAAACATTTAAAATAAAGTAGTAATTGATTGCTGACACATGGGATCAAACATGTGATTAATTTAATGCGATATTTCACTTTAAGCAATTTCGCATTAATGAGGTTTGACTGTATCAAGTTCTTATATTTAGTTACTTATATTCTAGACATGTTATTTAAAAACACTGGAAAAAGTTACTCCCTAATATTGTTTTGCAATTATCAGCACTTATTTTGTATTTATTCTCCTAATATTATTTGTTGATTATATATTTCTTAGTTTGTGTATCAAAAGGCTGATCACTGGGTGCCACGACTGGGATTCAAACCTGAGCCACCTCATTGGGAGGTGAACACTGAATCCGCTGAGCTACAGTAGCTCTACATTTAGACACCTGCGGGTGACGTGACGCATAGATATATTGTGACATTTGTTTGCACCTCATTTCAGCAGCCAATCAGATTTGACACACATATTTGGTGTCGGTTGTAGGTATCCAATTAAATCTAATCCGAAAATTTTATTCAGTCTGATAATAAACCAAGCCTAACAACTGTAAACGTTGATATGTCATTCACAGCTGTGTGATTTCAGCAGTCCTCTTCTTCCCAAGTTGCAATATGCAATTACTAAACAACGTAAAAAAAATGTTTTTAGTTTTGAGCATTTAATTTTGAGTGAAAAAATCAAAAATGTTATTAGTAGCAAAATGAACTGTTTGTTTTTAATTTAAATGGCATGTATATTTTGTCTATGGTAAGAACTTCCCCTGCCACAATGTCTGAGGCCATCTTCTGCTATGGTAACAAGAATAGCACATTTCAGGAAGGAAAGCTTCTCTTCACTCTAGGGCTAACATAGGCCGAAGAATTTAACCTTTTCTTTCTCTCTCCAACCAGATCGAGCCAAAACGTAAACAATGACCATGCACCCTTACTTGAAATAGTTATACTTCGTTACCATGGATCCAGATGAATGACATGGGGAGTTCTTACTTTAGACAAACTATATGTTATGAGTTAAAGCAATGTCAGGTTGAAAAACAAAGAGTAACAAGTATTGAAATGTGTATCTCTGATTTATTTATTTTTCTATTTTAGGTTCTTGCAATTGGACTGACCCCCTTCGTGTACGAATAGTTAAAGGGCACCATAACTGGATTGCCGTGGCTTATGCTCACTTTGTTAGCTGTTATAGGTAATTGACCAGCAGAGTTTACTGCTATAAATTGTTTACTCATTGTATTCTTATTAGTCAGACATTTTTGAGGTTAAAGTCATTAGTCAGAGTTGCCACTCCACAGGGAAAAATGCTAGGAATTTTGAGTTTTTCTTTAGAAACTATGAAAATAAGGGGAATTTTGTTTCTTATATCCGTCTTTTAAAAAATGGTAACCACTCAAAGTGCAATCTATGGGATATTCAAGGATGATATTTCAGCTATATTAAACTATTTCATTTACTACAGCATTATTTGTTTTAAGTATATTCAGCTGTTCCTCTAAGTTTTTTCAGCAATTATAACTAGTATAGTTGGCCCAATACAGCTCATACAAGAGCTCAATGATTGTGTTTTTCATCTTAATATATTGTCTATAATATATATTAGGAAAATGCAGGGTTTTTTTCCCCTCCAGATTTGAGTGGCAACCATGCTAGTAACTTTAGCATTGAAAGTTAACTGAAGTAATTCACATGTAGATTAAGGTGTATTTATGTCATTATGTAGTGAAAAGAATCCTTCCCTTGAAAGTTACACAGTAAAAATTCAATGTAAGGTGAGGACATATCCCGGCATTGTACGTTGATAACGAGTTTGAGAAAATACATTTTCTGCTATTAAAGTGAGAAATGCTACACGAAATAAAGAAAAAAAAAAAGATTTTATTTATTTTTAGCATCAATACATTAAAGTGAAATGCATATATCATGTCACCTTGTTTCCTGCCTGTGGATGGTTTTTTCTACACTGAGTGCTGCAAGCTCTTGACTGCCTATACTTCCAAATTAAGGTTTTTGGCATATTTTGAAGCCATTTGACTCACAACATAATCATTGAGTTTTGAGACTCTCTTGAGTAGTATTTCTTGCATACGTGTATTTGTTACCTGATTTATTATTTGTGTTTAAAAGAAGAATTGTCATTTGAAGACTTGCCATTTCAAGACATAAGAAATGTTGTTTGAAAAAAGAATAGTTATAAAATACTACTTACCTTGTTAACAATATACCAGCTGCGAAAATTAAACTTGAATGATAATTTGTGAAATGAACTTTATCTCACTGCTCGAAAAATATGCTAACACTAACGTATGATGGTGAAAGGCTTGCATGGTGGGCAAGTAGCACCAAGAACAAACAGTAATGAACAAGTTAACGGAGGCCAAATCAGAACTGCCAAAAAAGCGGATTCTTTCTAAATCCAGCAACAATGTTACCACTTTTAACAAGACATCTATAAATAACTGAAACAAATTTTCACTTCACACTCATCAGAATTACTTAATATCGTTAGAAATACAGAAAATATCGCTTTGCAGTAAGCTGTATACTTTCTATCCGGAAATTAAGCAATCCAAGATATCGAGATTGTTATTGTTTACATTTATATTGAAAACACCATCCATAAGACAAACTCTTTATAAAACAAGTGTGTTGGCGATCACGGGCAAAATTATCTTTCAAAAGAATAATGTTGCTATTTTTTGGGATACCTAATGCGCACTTCAAAAGCAACCAACCTTGGGATCCCACAAGCCTTGAAAACTTAATAGTAAAATTAGGTTAAAAGTTTCAGTGTTAACATTAAGTTAGGATTTCGGAAAAAATTTCATGCTGATATCCTTTACTGAGAAAAAAAAACAAATATTTAAATATATTCAATGATCGTGTCACTTTTTAAGGCCCTTAGGAGCAATAATACACCTCTTAATACTTTTCTTGAATTTTTCAAGTGCAAACTTTATTAAGTAAGAAAACACAATACAAAAAAATATCACAATTTCAACTTCATTAAATCAATGTTAAAACCAAAATGATTTAATAATATATTTATTGATTGGAAAAAAATACCGTGAAGCTTTTCGGTAGCGACCACTCTCTGTTTCACAGTAAGATGGTCGTTTATTTAGGTTGGTCGTTTCTTACTTGTTACCTCCATTGACTTCAAAATGCTATCAAAGATACAGGATTTTGGGCAAATTATTTTAATTTTAGTCAGTGTCATTTTTTTGGTGCGGAAATGCCATTTTTGCAATGCAATAAGCGTCATGAAAACTGGGTCGTTTAATAAAATTTAGCTTCCTTAGAAATGATCCCTTCTGATATAATTATGTGTAAAAACAAATTTACCTGTTGAGAATGATAGAACTATTTTACATAAATAAACAATTATTGTTTTTCGTTAAAATTTGCATTTAATTTTATATCATAAAAAGCTTTAAGAGATGAGAATAGGTTTGTTTGTTTGAGATGCTTATTTTTTCCTAAAATACGAATTTCTTTCTTAATTGATTTTTAATTGAACTTTCCACTCTAAAACTATATCATTGCTAGCATCATCTTTAGTGCACTTTGACTGCAACACGAGGATGTCATTCTCTTGCAGAGATTGACAAAAAGAGCTCTTTAAGTAAGAGCCTCGTTCAAATATTTTGACTACTTTTTTATCTACTTATTTGTTTAATTAATATTTTTTGTTTAGAAAGATATTATTTGATATTTTTTTGTATCTCCTTATTTCACCTTTTCTGCGTATTTTGCAGAGGTTCTGCCCGGTCGTTGGGAGGGGTTTTAATGGTCTCGTTTCTCCTAAAGGTTTTTATAACACCAAGTCTATGGAAATAATTTCATGCTTACCAAAAATGGTAACTTCATAGAGGTGGTCTTTGCTGAATTTTAAATTTTATGTTTTAGATTACGAGATTCTGCAGGATGGCAACTAGCATTCATGAGTCCTTATATTGATCCAGTAGTTGACAGAATAGCTTTAAATGCTAAAGTCGTGTCTAATCCTGTGGAAAACAGTACTAAAATGCTGGCTATTGCTAATAGTTGCCAAGTCAGACTTTGGGGAATTTCTGAAGATGGAAACAAGTCAGAAATTGGTTTGTAAAGTTTAAGTTAATTCATTACTTGTTAATTTTTAAAAAAATTAAATTAAAAAGCTATTTGCAAAAAATTGGGCTTTGCTGCATTTTTAAAATTTTTTTTTTGCATTATATTTAGTGATGTAACAAATAGTGATGGGGCCGAATATTCGGCCAAATTTTAGGATGAATACCGAATATTCGGTGGCCGAATACTTACTTTTTAAAAATTTCTCTTTTCATTGTAATTAAAGTAATTTTCAAATTTTCAATTAAAAATGAAATAAATATTAACAAAATTGCTTTTTTAATCTTTGTATATTTAAAACATTTTTAACAACTTGATTTATTTTTTGTAATAATTTAAATATCTTGATGCCAATAACAAGGCAATATGGCTTTTGTAAATCTAAATAATTAATAATTGCATATTTTAGTTATAGATATACTTGTAATTTATATGCTATTTTATTTAAGATAAGAACTTATTACTTACTACTGTTAAATGTATTCTTAACTTTCTTTTTTGTCAGAAAAATTATTAAAACTCAGAAAATTAAGAACTTTTTAAAAAGTTTCACTTTTGAAATTTTAATTTTGTAATTAAATAATTTTCAAATTTTAAATTAAAAATGAAATAAATATTAACAAATTTGCTTTTTTAAACTTTCTATATTTTAAAAAAAAATTAACAACTTGCTGTATTTTTTGTAATATTTTAAATATCTTGATGTCAACAATAAGGCTTTCACAAATCTAAATAATTAATAATAGCAGCATAATTAATAATAGCATATACTTCATTATTCGACCGAATAACTTCAGTATTCGGCTAGGCCGAATATTCGGCAAAAGGGCCGAATGGTGGCCGAATATTCGTTACATCCCTAATTATATTGTAACCTTCTGTTTTTCTACTGTTACATAATATGATTAACCATATTGTTGAAATCAATTGTTATTAACAGAGCCTGCATTTTAATGTCCCACAAATGCTCTTAATAGCAAAAAAAAAAGTTAATAAAATAAATAAATAAAACAAATGTTTTTAAAAATATGGAAAATTTCATTGCAAGAATCTTATTCTAAAGCATTATTTCTTCTATAAATTGGCATATGTTTGATTTTATGATACACATAATATACGTATTGGTGAAAATGTATATAAAGTGAAATTAAAAAGCAATTTTTATTCAAATTTGATATAATTGTTAAATGGGGAAAGAATTGGCATATGAATAAAACTTAGTCATGGGAAATCATGATAAAAGACAAAAATATTAGATAAGCTTCATATAAAAAATTTATTCAATGTCAAAAAGTCTAAAATGTAAAAATGTGCTCGTAAATATAGGTGGAAACAAAATACCCTAAAATGAAAAAAAATATCCCGCAGAGTTGTCCAAAAAAAAGTTTAAAAAAAAGCACTAGGAAAGAAATTTTTTAAAATCAAAAACTGGGATCATGTTCATAGCTACACTATGTTCAACGACACTAATTGCTGTATCTTCATTAAATCAGTGTTACTTTTCATGTTGACCACTAGTCAGCATTGTTTGTTGATTGCAATCAGCTAAAAATTACGCTGAGATGCCTCCGTTTACTTTCGTTATCAGGTCTTACCAAACAGAACTATTATTTAGTACAGTGCACACACACACACTAAAAAAATTAACAGACCAACCTGAATAACTTTTGATCTAATGATCGGATATTCATACTCTAGGACTCAATCTTGATGGTTTAAGGGTTAAATATACTAATCAATTAATGCAGGCAATATTTTAAGTTGCAAAATCAGATAAGAAAACATACTTTCTCTGAATGGGCGTAAATTTCTTTGACGGATTCGGATTTCTGATCCCTAAAACATAAAAAGTAGCTTTTATCTAAGAGATGTGGCCCCAATAGTTCAATCAGGAGAGGGGTCCAGAGTTTGCTTCTCTTAATGTTAATTTTATTTTTCGCATATTTTGTCACATCTTTCGAACTTTTTAAGCAGATTAAGAAAAATTTGCACACAATTATAAAATTTGTTTATCTAAAGATAATTCCATGCTAAGAATAACTTTTATTAAATATTAATTATTTTTTTAATTTTATTTAATAATAGTTGGAAAATTTTTGAATTGTATGTAATAAATATGAATTTGAATGTATATAAAGTTTTTTACATCCTTTTGAAAAATGTAATTTTACACATCAAAACACAAAGCTGAGCAAAATCAGTCAAACATTTCCTGAGAAATTGAAAATTAAAAACACTAACTTTTAAAATTTATTTTCTGGGGAACTATTTGATTGATTTCACTCAAATTTTTACTTCACCATGTAAAATTACATCCCTTGAAATAAAGTAAAAAATTTTATACCTTACAATTAAAAACCTTTTTGACTATTATTAAATAAAATAATAAATATTTACTGGAAGCTGTTTCTTTCATAGAATTGTCTTTGCATTAACAAATTTTATAATTGTATACAAAATTTATTCAATTTGCTTAAAAAGTTCTCCAGATATGGCAAATTACGCAAAAAAGTAAAATTAGCAATGAGGGGTCTAAACTTTGGACCTCTTTCCTGACCAAACTATTGGGACCATATTTCCCAGATTGCACCTACATCCTATATTTTGAGGGTCAGAAAGCCCATTTTTGTGTCTGATTTTGTAACTTAAAATATCGTCTGCACTAATTAATTTACAGTACGAATCATTGAGTTCTAAAGTGAAGATGCAATCATTAAATCAAAAGATATTCAGGGTGGTCTTTTTTATTTTGTTCACTGTACATTATTATTTATATTGTGTTATTACTGCTATAATTATCACATCATCATATATGTATTATTGGGATTATTTTTCCCCCATCCCCTGAAAATTTTGCATGCTTTTGAAATTTGTTAAACTTCTTTATTTTATTTGCTAGATTTACTAAAAGATTAAAAATCTTGTTATTACATAATTAAAAATATTTTTAGAAAATTGGAATTGAAATTTTTTTTATTTTTATAAATCACTACTAGTTTATTATTTTATATACAAAAGAATTCATAATTAATGCTATTCACAAAAGCTCTTACACCTTTTTTAAATTAAAATCAATTGATTTTTATTAAATTTCCTTTTTCTACTTTATGATTATATGTGTTCCGGAATATTATGTTCTTTCTGAGCACTGGTCACAGATTAGGTCTGTCAAAATCCATAGCTGCCAATTTGTGCGGTTGTTGAGAAGAATTTTTCTTAGAGGTAGCAACATATATGTTTCTGTGTATAAATCGTAATTAGGATATTATTTGATTAGATTTAATATCACTAGATTTATTATTTAGGATAAATTAATTATCATTACATTTATGCAGTTATGCATATATGTTAAGGAAATTGCTTAATTTTGAAAAATTCTTCCTAATTTAATTGGTATTTTGCTACCATTTTGTAAAATCCTTTCCATTGATCGTAGAAGCTGGCAGCTTTACAAATTTTCTCCATTTTATCTAATCCTTATGGCTCCATAGTATGGTATGCTATAGTTGAAATGTTGATAACTAGTTTGCAACCTGACTTAATTCCTGTTCACTTTCAGGAACGTTTCAGTTTACAACACCTGTTGATCATTTATTTTTTATTGGTAGTCAACTTGTTGCATTGAGTCATACTGGCAAAGTTGGAGTTTGGCATGCTATGACCCAGCATTGGCAAGTATGTAAAATAGTATTTAAATTCTGCATAACTAATTTTATATTTGCTTGGATATTTTCGTGACTCATTAATAGTGTTCTTTTGTTACCGTGCACATTGAGAGTAAATTTTACGAATTACTGCTGCTAAATAAAATTTTTCACTGATTAGCAAGAATGTAAAATATCTGACAGCATCGTGGCACACAACCTTTTTGATAAAAGGGCAATCAGGCTATATAACTGAATCTTCAAGGACAACTTTTGAAAACAGACTGAACTTGTAAGAAATTTGAAAATTTTGTTGGTTAAAGTTTTTTTTTTTTTTTGGTGGTGGTGGGCATTTGGGTCTATTTTCTATTGGCCTCAGAATTGTTAATCTCGTATTGTTACCCAGTGGGCATCTGTGGCTAAGCCACGGCGGTGGATTAGCGTTGCCCACGCCATACAACCACAAACCTGTTCACAGGGCAGGTTACAATCACGCAGACGGAAGGACATAGAACGCAGAGAGAGAAGAAGTTACATCCATGTCTACAGTGGGATTCGAACCCGCCACCACTGATCCAGTACAGTAACCACTAGACCAGTGATCGACTTGTTGATTAAAGTAAAGAATGGATAATAGTAACGAACAGCTGTAGCAGAAAGGGAGAAAAAAAGGTTAGCAGATCAAGGAAGCATGCGGGAAAAGTGAGGATAAGTTTTAGAACAAATTTGGCAACAGTCAATCTTGAAAGAATGGAAAGATATATGAGTAATGACGTTAAAATGTGTTAGTGACTTTTGTGTGACATTCAGGTGCTTTAGATAGTAGATCTTTATAATAGCTAAATTGTGTTTTGTTTTTAAATTTTTTTTTTAAAAATCTGATTTACATTTTATGGATTTTTTTTTGTTGCTTCAGCATAAAATAGTTCTATATTTGAAACGTTGCTGTAAGTGTTGGGTCGGGTCCTGTCAGAACTTATTCAAGTTTCTGTAAACATTTAGACACATTGTTTTACTTCTGTTAAAAAAAAAAAATTCTCTTAAACATTCATAAAACATGTCTCAGTGTAAAATTATTTTAAAAGCTTGCACTCTGTTTTCAATAAAATTAAATGAAAATTGAAAATTTTTTACTGCACATGAATTAAAATTTTTGCTCTTAATAAATCCTATTGATCTATATTGATTTAAAACAAATTTCAGGATTAAGAAAGTTTATTTTAATAATTCAAATTTATGAATAAAACTTGAAATTTTTAGTCAGTTTACGTAAGGAATTTTTCATTTTTTGATTAGAAAGCTGGGGGCTGCATAGAAACTATTAAAAGGATACATTTGGCCCCTACCTGGGTCATAGTTTGAGTACCCTTATGTAAATGTGAAGGAATTCTGCAAATTTGCTTTTATTTCTTTTTTATGACAAGAATTATATAAAAATGAGGTATAAAGTTTTAATATTGCTCTTGCAATATCTTTTTTTAAATGCTTTATGTTTTATCAGTTATTACAAAAATTATTTTTGATTCATGAAGATATTAAAGTAAATTGATTTTCATGTACCCTTTTAAAATAAATATGTAGAATTTGTAAAACCCTATATGCTATTTTTATGCTAGATACTATAATATGTCCAGTCTAAGTCTTCAATAAAAGGATAAATACATAAATAAAGAAGATATGTATTTACGTTTACAAAACATCAATTTACAAAATCTGATGTCTAATATATTTACGGAAATGTGCCTGTCAGTAAAAGTTTTGAGTATTTTTAACTCACTATTTATAAGGAGTTGATGATACATGGTGTTCTTTAAGTATGGTTAGTCAAAAATGCATTCAGGGTTGCCACTCTACAGGGAAAATCTGCAAAATACAGGGAATTTAAATCACCAAAATTAACAGGGAAAATGCAAGGAATTTTGAGTTTTTCTTTACAAACAGGGAAAATACGGGGAAATCGTTTTTTATTTTCATCTTTTAAAAAATGGTGACCACTCAAAGTGCAATCTATGGGATATTTAAGGAAGATATTTCAGCTACACTGAACTATTTTATTATAGCATTATTTAAGTATGTTCAGCTGTTCCTTTTTTTTCTCTAAGTTTTTCTAGCAATTAAATCTAGTACACTAAGCCCAATATAGCTCACACAAGAGAACAGTAATTGTGTTTCCTCTTAATATATTGTGTATAACACGTACAGGGAAAACGCAGGGAATTTTTTTCCTCCAAATTTGAGTGGCAACCCGGATGTTATTTAAATAGTATCAAGGCTAGTTTTATTTTTTCAATTTTTCTTATTGTACTTAATTTTTCAGATTCAAGATGTTAATCCTATTACAAGTTTTGACACAGCTGGTTCTTTTTTGCTTTTGGGCTGCAATGATGCATCCATTTATTATATAGGTGAAGATAATTTAATTTTTATAACTGTTTTTCTGTTTTAGAAAAAATATTTTCTTTCTTTAAAAAAAACTTAATATAAATGATGATTCCAATAGAATTCAGTATTGCAATTTGCAATAATTAGAATATTTATTAGAAATAATAGTTCAATGAAATTGAAATAACAAATTTAAAGAAAATGTAAATTACATAAGAGATTTCTCTGCTTTAAAAGAATACAAATATTTCTTTCTGTGTTCGGTGCTATCTGATTCCTCTGCAGTTTTTGGACACGACACATGGATGCTACTTTTTAGTCCTGGGGACTGAAATCAGTCTTGAAAAAAATAATAAATAAATAAACTATGTAATTAGTAGTTCTTGAAAAAAAATAGGCTAAATAAGCTAGTAAATTTCATCAATTAATATATTTTTCCCATTTGTTTTTTAAATTAAAACCTTTTTTCCTTAAAAATGTAATAAATATTTTTTGTTAAAAATAAATTAAAATCTTAGACATTGTTATTTTTCATAATTATTGCAAAATGATGACGCAACACAGTGAAGGAATGGGTTTGATTGAACTTCAAATTATGCTTGCTTGAATAAAATTTTAATATTGTTGTATCTAAATTTGCTTTAGTTTCCATTTTTCCCCCCAACACTTTGAAATATTGCCCAAAGTTAAATTAAAATTATAATTATTATTATTAATTTTTTTTTTTGAAAAGAAAAAGAAAATTTATAGAGATGGGATAAAAGATAAATAATGGTGAAATGAAAAATAGTAGAGATATAAATAGCTTCATGAGAAAATTAGTGCTTTATTATTCAATGATTGGCGTAAAAAGATGTACTAACTTTGCTGTTATTGTTAATTTGTTTGTTGTAAAAAAATAAATTAGTAAAATTTAAAAAAATGTATTAGAAAATATAATTATATCACTGATTTAATATATGAGCCATTATTTTTCAAGGTACATTTTGAAAGCAGTGAGCTATAAATTTCTGAAAATTTTGGTAAACAATGCTAGACAAATATTTCTTTTTAGCAATTAAGGAATAAATTAGATTAGCTTTAATAACCTAGTTGCCCCCTTTAAAAAATGAATAGAAAATAAATCTGTTAAAAAAATTTAACTAGTTTATTTATTATTAAAACTTATATAAACTAGTAACTTATATAAATTATTAAGAAAACTTATGAAGTAAATCTGCCGCTTTCATAAACCAAATTTATCTGCAGGGCTGTGAAACATATATTATATCAGGATAACCTAGCATATATAATGCAAATGTACGATAATTGAAATTTACAATTAAAAGCTTTGTCGTTTAAACTTCAATTTTGATTTTCATGCAATAATGCTGAAAATGGAAGTGGAATAAATCCTGATGTAGTAAAAGTCTTTTATCAATAACAGAAAAAAAAAACTTTTTTCCTTACCTTTTGTTCTCTGCTGTGCTCCCTTGACTCAGCTTTATAATTTAGAAACAATTTTTGAGATATTCGAAAACAAAATGTCAGCCATTTTTTTGTTAAGATCTGTTGTGAAAAATATGTGCTGCTATATCTGTGATAAACTGCAGCTGCTAAGCTGAAGAATTTTTGGTGCCAGAGAAAATAATTTCAATTTGGTTGTTGGTACAGTTTCATTTTTCTTTTTGATTCTAATACTAGGAAAACTATAAATTCAAATAATACAAATAAATTTACAAGATCACATTTAAAAGCTTAACTATGTTTGCCTTTATTTTGAAGCATTCAAAAAGTTTTTTAAAAATATTAGTTTGTACACATATTCAATAGCATTTTAAAGTCTGCCGGTGGGAAGAATACTTCCCACTAACTTAATATTTAAATTCCTTTTAAATTGATTTAATGTTTAAATGTCGATAAGAAACTATTTCCTCTCTCAAGATTTGTGAGGCCATCTGGTGATAGCTTTATAAAATACAAGATGGAAAAAAATAAAAACCAATGAGAGGTTTTGTTTACAGAAATGTGGGCAACAATACAGGTTAGAGAGGAGCTGGGAAAAGAGCTCAGCAGCGAGGATTTATTTTTTCTTGTGTGTTCTGTGTTTTTTCATTTGATCATTTTTCATTTAGTAGAAATCTAAGCACAGAATTTATAAATTCAGTTATTTATAGGCAAAATTTTAGAAAATCTCATCCACCTTCCCACCAAAAATATTTTCTTAAAAATCAATTTCATTTTAAGTAATAAGCTAAAAAAATTTTTTATAAATTAATCTCTATCTCGAAAATATTTTAATGTAACATTAATAGAAAAAATATGTCCTTATTAAAGGTTATTAATGGATAATTTTGATGTTTTGAAATAAAAGTTAACAAATTAATAATAATTTTTAAAAACTACCTAAACTAAAGGCATTTTCCTACTTCTCGATTTTTATTATTATTATTCATTTATTTATTTATTATTATTATTTTTTAGCTTTTAAAACTGGATCCAGAATGAATGAAAATTCGCCCTGAATTTTCTAATCTCATGTGTTTTTGCATTACTTCACTAACAACATACTATTATGAAGACAGTCTTACTTCAGAATATTTTTTAAATAATATGTAATATGTTCAATATGTATATACAAAATGTTCTTGATATCTCAAACTTCAATTTCTTGAAAACTTTGTTATGTCAGCAAAATATTTTCCCTTGGCATTATATATCCACCTAAGGGTAATTTGATTTCCTATGTCGAAGGGCTTCTTCTAGCAAATTTCTAGAAAATTTGACATAACAAGGTTTTACCTTGTTATGTCAAATTTTTTTCGAAACAGAAAATGAAATTTTTTCAAAAAATTGCAATGTATTTTTTTTTCTATTTAAAGCATAATTATTTTTGACTTTTAAAAATAAAACTATAATTTTTGTATTTAGACTTAGTCAACTATCATTACATACATATTTGTTAGTAGTTATTCTTATGTTTCATTACTCTACTTTTTAGAAAATATATTTCTACTTTTTAGAACATATTTAGTTCTGAAATTGCCATCTCAAAAATTTTTTAGCGTCTTTTCCACTTTGAGATATCGAGAGTATACTGTAATTGTGTTGTTTTTAAACTAGTATTATCAAAGTATTTTGTTAAACAAGATTTTTTCTTTGATTTTCAACGTTATGCTATAATAGTTAAATTTTGTGGTTATGATTTAATTTATTTCAGATATGCAAAAATTTCCCTTAAGGATGAAAGATAATGATCTTTTAGTGACTGAACTGTATCACGATCCATCCAATGATATCATCACTGCAATAAGTGTTTATTTGACACCTAAGACTAGTAAGATATTTTCACTCATTTTATCATACAGCGCTCTAGACGAAAAATGTTTGTGTTTCTTTCTTGTTTGATGAAGGAAAAAATGTTCTGCCCATTTTACTGTTAATTGAACTTTTCATACTTATTTTTAAGTTTTCAACATCTGTTCTTTTTTAAATTTAGTGCACACAGTATCATATAATACTATCGTTTAAGTCCTTTGTTCAGTCTGTATTTCACTATGGCTTTGCAAATGTAAATATTTTTATGCAATTTTTATTTTTCAGATCAAATAGAATATATTTTATTAATATTTAGGTGCTCTTATTTAACTTATTTCAACTATATAATTAAATAGATTCGCTTAACTTTCCACCTATATTTTTTTAACGAATAACTCATGTGTAATATATATAAATTATATATTTTTTTTTTGATCAAATAAAACATATTTTACTAACATTTAGCTGTTTTTATTAACTTATTTCAGCTACATATTTCAATAGATTTGTTTAACTTTGTACCAACATTTACTCCTTTTTTTTTATTAAAGTAATTCAGATGTAATATAAATTATATTTTATTTTTCAGATCAAATAAAACATATTTTATTAAAATTTAGCTGCTCTTATTAACTTCTTTCAACTACATAATTCTATAGATTTGCTTAACTTTCTAGCAACATTTTTTTTTTTTAAATAACTCAGATGTAATATAAATTATTTTATACATTCCATCAAATGCTTAGGTTTTAACACCCAAATTAAGTTATTCTTATCTAAAATTTTCAGGTTATGTAAACTCCTAATAGAGTTTTTCTGTTAAGATTGTAGAAACAATTGTTGTAAATAATAGAAAAACCTAATATTTCTTTATGAGTTAGTAGTTATAAAATTTCACTCTTTTTATTATTATTTTTTTTTTTGTGAAATTGAACTGACTGATTTGTTTCCGAAATATTTAATTCCTTACTAATTTTTGCATTAGTTTAAAAGATTTTTGTGGAAAAAAAACTGCAAAATATTAGTTTGTGGAAAGTGTAACTATGATTAAATTGGATCATGTTACATTTTGCATGAAAATTCAGAATACTTATCTTTAGAAATGCAGAAGGGGGCTCTCTCTAGATTCAGAGAAATTCTGGAATGTTTAGGGAAATTTACTGTCAACTCTGGAAATTTTTGAAACAGCCGCAATAAGCATTCTATTGAGTATGATATTACCATACTTGCGCACAATTTTATTGCAAGAGTTTTATAAATGTTTCAAAACTTATCCAGTGGAACTTTCAGTTATTTCTTTTGTCATCAGTTCCTTTTAAATCAATAGTTTAATTTTTAAATAATTCTGCTTAAATCTTCTTTTAATTATTTTTTAATGTTTTAAAGCATTAGTATAATGAAATTTTTTTTTACCCAATTGTTATCTTAGCTGTAACAAAATTAACAATGAAAATGTTTTAAAAGGAATTATAAAAAAGATATATATATTTGTTTTATATGAAAAATTTGTGTATGAAATAAAAATTGATTAAAAATTTTTTTTTCAGTATTTAAGTAAAAAATTTTAATACTTTGAAATGTGTATGCAAATTTTTAAATGACAATTAAAACTATTTAGATTAAAGTCATGAAAATTTGGGAAAAAATGGTTTTTTTGTTTTGCAAATCTACAGGAATGTAATTTTGTTTACAGAATGGCCACCTGGAATTGGAAATTTTTTCTTCTTCACTTTTGTTTATTTTGTATATTGTAACTTCAAATTATTTTAATCATTTGACTTTCACAAAACAATAAAATTGTTATTTAGTTTGAAACTACCTAACAAAAACACATGCAGGGCCATATGCAATCTCTATATTAGACTCACTGTAAGGCTTTGCTGCATCTTATCTTTTGTTTCGAGCTCAATTCGTCCCCTGACTAAATTTTCTTCTTTATGCGCTGTACACTAGCTCCAATCTTTGTGATATTTCACGGTTTGAAAATATTTTGGCATTCACGAGGACTTTTACTTCAGCTTTTTTTTTACACGGTGGAAGATCGTCATCTTTACCCACGTTGAAAATGTTCCAATTGATTATTTATAGTCTGCACACAAAATAAAGAAATTACTGTGTAGTATGAAACTGCTAAACAAATAACCAAAGCGCATAAAGCCGCAGAAACGCGTCTGCAACTGACGCTTGCGAGAATGCGACTGAAAGCCTTTTGCACTTGATTGCGTTCGTATATCAGTTGGTTAACATTGTAATGTAATAAATGCAAGTTTAAATATAAAAGTATGGCATATAAACTCTTGCAAAATATTTAATTATTAAAAAACTACAGTGCAGTTGATTATTTATACAGTCTAATAATTTGACTAAGCAATATCTTATTTGGATTGAAACTGAACCTAAAAATAAATGTAACTCACAAAATATTTATCTTTTGTTTTAGGTCTTTGTGGTAACTGGATTGAAATAGCATATGGCACCAGTTCAGGAACAGTTCGTGTTATTGTTCAGCATCCAGAAACTGTTGGTCATGGACCGCAACTGTTTCAAACTTTTACAGTTCACAGAAGTCCTGTCACTAAAGTTGTACTCTCTGAAAAATTTCTTATATCAGGTTTGTACTAACTATGCAAAATATTTTTGTGATTTTTATTAAAGAAAAAAATGGAAGTTTCTACTGCTGTGTTCAATAATTTTCACTGACCCTCTAGAATTAATTTTGAAAATGTAATATTTTTGCACAATATGTAAAAATGTATTGATTTATCAGGAGTTAAATTTTTGAGCCTTTTGATGGATTTAAGTCTTTTAAAAAAATTAAGATAGCATGAGATAGAGATTGATAACAATCGAAAACATTAAATGACAATAAAAAAGACCATAACTCAAGCTTTCAATTAATTATTACTAAATAAATTTTATTTATTTTTTAATTATGTGCCTTACCAAAGGAATTACCTTTGTAATTAATTACTTAAGTATTAGCTTTAACAAAATATTTTTTTTCTAAAAGTATTAATTCTTTTTTTTTTATTTTTAAATTGGATGAAATAAAAAATAAATTTGAAAAAAAAAATTTATATACGAGAAAAATTAAGGTAAATTAGGTCTGATTTTTACTAAGTTGATTTAAAAAGCTAAATATTTTATATTTTATGTTAGATTTTGTTGCCAATTTGATTACTTTTTACTTGATTTGGGATTCACCTATTTTTATTTTAAAAGTTTGTCTTATTTTTTTTCTCCATATTTCACCTTTGTTACTTATACTTTTTCCTACACTTAAGGCCCTTTCCTACTTCTCCTATGGATTTCTTCTTTTTGTTCTGTTGTTTGTTACTTTCAGCCTATCTCACTAATAAAGATAGGACCTTTCTTTGNGTCTTTTAAAAAAAATGAAGATGGCATGAGATAGAGATTGATAACAATCGAAAACATTAAATGATAATAAAAAAGACCATAACTCAAGCTTTCAATTAATTATTACTAAATAAATTTTATTTATTTTTTAATTATGTGCCTTACCAAAGGAATTACCTTTGTAATTAATTACTTAAGTATTAGCTTTAACAAAATAATTTTTTTCTAAAAGTATTAAGTCTTTTTTTTTTTTTTTAAATTGGATGAAATAAAAAATAAATTTAAAAAAAAAAAACTTTATATACGAGAAAAATTAAGATAAATTAGGTCTGATTTTTACTAAGTTGATTTAAAAAGCTAAATATTTTATGTCAGATTTTGTTGCCAATTTGATTACTTTTTACTTGATTTGGGATTCACCTATTTTTATTTTAAAAGTTTGTCTTATTTTTTCTCTCCATATTTCACCTTTGTTACTTATACTTTTTCCTACACTTAAGGCCCTTTCCTTCTTCTCTTATGGATTTCTTCTTTTTGTTCTGTTGTTTGTTACTTTCAGCCTATCTCACTAATAAAGATAGGACCTTTCTTTGCTTTTTCCCAGCCAGAAATTTCAACTTGTTTTAATGCCCCCTAATTAAGCCTGGATAACCCTCTTTTTCTTTTTCCATCTAGTACCTAATGTTATTGCTATTAGTGTTTTATTTTGTAATCTTCTGGTATTCAAAGGCCTTGGTGGAGCCAACTCTTGCTCTATGCTATAATTTCTTCTATGGATTTTGTTTGGGAGTTTTTCAAAAATATTTATATTTGATGTCTTATAAGGCCAGAAAACTTAAAAAATAAATTTTAAGCATTTGTTTTAACCCACTGCAACTTGATAAGGTCAATCTTTTTCAGAGTTTGTCAACAAAAAAAAAAACTTACTAAACAAGAATCATTTAAAATATTTTGAATCTATTTATTTGTTTTAATATTTTCTCCTATTTCCATATTTGACCTTTTTAACCATGCAAACCTCTGCACCAAATGGTGCAGAGGTTTGCATGGTTGCTGGAGGAGTTTTTAATGGTCTCTCTTAAAGGTTTTCTTCAATACAGAGTCTGTGGAAAAAAGGGGTAAAAAAAAAGAAGAAATCAAAGGTGGTCTTTCCTGGAGATTTCACTATATTAAATTTTATTATATTTTAACAGTACTCTATGTAATTATAAAATAAGGTTTAACTATACCCAGTAACGTAAAATAATGAAAAAGTACAGCTATTTTCAAATTTCTTAAAAAATTCATAAAATTTATTTTTCTTTCCAATTGCTGCTTTTTTTTTATAAAATTTAAAAACGGTATATAAAATAGGTTCGAAATTAATTGTAACATTATTCAAACTAGAATGTTATCATAAACTATTTAAAAATTGTTTTAATATTTGATATTTCTCTTTGAAAAAGAGTTTTTTTTTCTTACTTTGACTTGTTAAAAAATAACTTTTTACTGATAATTTTCTTATTTTGTGTATTAGTATGTTCTGAATATAATCATGCAAGGACATGGAGTGTGACGAGATTCCGTGGAATGATATCAACTCAGCCTGGATCTACGCCTTTGGCTTCCTTTAAAGTTATATCATTGGAAGATTTGGAGCCCAATTTTTCTTACAGCACTGCTAACGACAGTGGTGAGTGTGTCTCTATAATACTATCATAGCTGCCAATTCTACTGGATTTTGCCAGTTTCTCCTGGTTTACTGGTTTAATTAAAATTCTCTTGGTTTTTGTATATTTTAGAAAATTCCCTAAAATTGATTGTTTCCTAAAAAAAATTCTTATTGAAATAGAATTTTTGTACGGATTATTGCTTGCTTGCTTGAATATTTAAATAAGTAATTGTAATATATAATGAAGCAAACCTTGTTTATAGAAATTAGTTCAAAACTTTTTTTGTTCTAAAATGTTAAGTTTATTTTTATTCTGAACTCTTTTTTTTTAAAAATTAATTACTATCTTTGATGAATTAAATGTCTATTAATAGTCAAAATTATGAGTATACATGATACGTAACATTTCAAGTATGTTTAATGTCAATCATAACTGGAAAATCTTATGTCTATTAATGTCTATTAATAGTCAAAATGTCTATTAATAGTCAAAATTATGAGTATACATGATACGTAACATTTCAAGTATGTTTAATGTCAATCATAACTGGAAAATCTTGCAATTTTTTTATTTTGATGACTATAAAAAACCCTAAAATTCCTTATGTGTAAAATATTTAGTACATTATGCAATAATTATCATGAAATTTATATTGTTTCGTAAAATCTCCTGGGTTTTTTCCTATCCATGTTGGCAGCTATAAACTATTGTAATTTAAATTTAGATAAAAGATTTTATTTCTGATTAAGTACAATTAATTTTACAGGTCCTTATGGAGAGCAAGATGATGAACAAGTCTTCATTCAAAAAGTTGTTCCAGAAACTGATCAACTTTATGTTCGCTATGCTTCCACCGGAAAACGGTATGAACCGCCATCATTAATATCAGGATCAGCCCAACCCTCTTTGACACCCCAAGCAAAGAAAAACTCAGAAAACAAAAAAGATTTGCATTAATATATTTGCTTGCCTAAATAGGGTTGCCAATCCACAGCGGGAATAGAGAAAACCTGGAAAACATGGGGAATTTAAATACAGTAGAGAACCATTTATCCGGTATCCAGATAACCGGGAAACCAGAAAACCGGGGGAAATTTTGCTCAGTTTTCCAGCCATTTTAAACTAGAACGATTATGAAAAAGAAGCGGAAATTGGACTCGTCCTTGAAGTTGAGTGGAAGGAAATGTAAGGAAGGGGAGAATTCTCCCCCCCCCCCACGTTTAAACAGAGAAACGTCATTTCCTCTGTGACTTTGAAGATCGAGAGGAGGCACAAAAGGGAGGAATGTTTTATTTTCTCCTTTAGGCTGTCAATCAAACTCAAGGATGTGGCATGTTGATTTCGTTTTCTGTTTGATTTACGAGGGGGGTGGGAAATGCATTGCATGCACATCAGTGAACAGAAAATGAAAGAGAAAAATATATTTATCTATTTGACATAGATTAATAAAAATAAAAACTTTTTCTTTTGAACAAATTCTGATTCTTTGGAAGTGCGGGATCATTTGCAACTTTTTCTTGATGTGGAATCACATCTGCTGTAATTAAAAATCGTGTTTTTATCAACAAAAAAATAAATAAATAAAAGGAGAATTGTTTATTAATTTAAACATAGTATTATTTTATGAAGCAGATTACAGTTTTGTTTTTCTGATTCCACTACGTTTGATTTTTTTTTTATTTTCACGATAAATTTTGCACTCAATAAATTCTTTTTATTCATAAATTTTATCATTAGTTTTTTTTTAAAAATTCCTTTGATCTTGCCTTGCTTTTTTAACTATCATTTTGGTTCAATAATTTTCAAGTGTTTTTATTTAGATTAATAGACTTAGACTTAGAGGTTGGGCAGCTCTGACGAGCAAGGCACATCGACCAGAGGTCTATTGTACCCAAACCCTAGTTGCGATTAGCAAGAAAGCACTATAGCTGAAATAAAGTTCAGCAAGCACCTTACAGGAACATCTTGCAGTTCCCAGGCATTGACGCAATGCTGTCCTAGATGCTCAAATCTTTGAGCAGAATAGACATCACATCATTTTCCGGGGCCCTGAACCTGCGCTGGGAATTTCTCCCTCCTCATTTAGGACAACCATTTTCAAGCTCTTCGGGAAGATTGCCCATGAGCAATGGCGCACTGCTGGCGGTCAGAGACAAGCTAAGGAGCTGAATCGAGACTGTCCTAGTGTACGTTAAAAGGAGCTCTTAAAGCTTAATAGAAACAGTATAAGGAAGATCGTAGGTCTTTTTACTGGTCACTGTATCCTCAGGAGACACCTAAACATTATGGGAATAGAATCCAATTCTCTATGTCGAGGATGTCATCTAGAAGAAGAGACATCACGACACATACTTTGTGATTTAGATTAATAAGTTTTCCTTTTATTTTTTGTCCCCCCTCCCCCCGCCCTTGTATGATTAGGTATGAAATATATTGCGTTATTTAATCATTGGTTTTGTTTATATTAGTTAATTTAAGAATTTTAATTATTTTAAAAAAATAAATATAAGAATTTTGTGTTTTTTAAACTTGTTTTTCTTATCTAAACTTGAAATTTTTTTTATTCTTTTAAATGTTATTTTTCTACCATTTTTTTTTCTTTTTAAATTTAGGAGTGCTTTTCTTTTTTTCTCTTACTTTATGCGTTACACATTTTCCTTGTAATTCGGGTTCGATAAAACATTGACTAACGACACTTTTTGGTCGATTCAGAAAACCGGGAAATTCAGGCATCGGGGATAGCGATGGTCCCGAGCATCCCGGATAATTGGTTCTCTACTGTATCACCTAAAATAACAGGGAAAAAGCAGGGAATAGTGATTTTTTTTTTGTGCTCGAAGAATTCCACTGGATTATGATCATTACAATATATTTTTAAATAAGTCATAAACTTAAAATTTTCATCCTTTTTCTCAGGTGTCTCATGACAATTTCCTAGGTCCACTTTGGTCACACTGGTAGTTAAAATTGAAGATTAAAACTCCGAAAAAATTCCTGAAGTAAATTTTATTTAAAGCAATGGAAAAAATGTTTTTGCGAATTATATTTATCTTTCTTAAAAATTAAAAATAAAAGAATTTTTTTAAAAAAAATTTCTAGAAAAACTGAAAATCTTTTATCAGCATAAAGCAGGATTTTTAAGATTTCCAACAAGTGGATTTTCTTCACACATGTGAAGGTGTCAAATCGATCATTAAAAATGAAATATTCCACTCAATATAAATGAGATTTAAAGATCTTTGGCTACTGCACTTAAATTTTTGCCTCTTTATAAAACCTGTTTGTGTCTTAGTATTACTCTGCCAACTATTACAGATGATTTAACCTTACTCAAGTCCACTCATGTTATATCTATATGAATAAACACATTTCTTACTCTTTGCCGTAGTACGCCGTGGTTTCGGAAGTAACCAAGCCTGTATAAAAAGCCAGTTTTAAAATCAGAAGATTCTAGCACTACCACCTCCCTTGAAAATAACTTCACCTTAAAACAGCTTCATTAAATAAAAGAGCGAAGATCAAAAAGTTGCAGTCCTTCTGCATGTTTAATGGCAAAGCAATAACGATACATTTATATTCCATAAAGTTGAGTTGTGCACAACAAAAAAAATTATAATTTCTATGGAAACAACTTAACATTTTTAATGATCACTATCAATTTTAGCTATCAGTGATCTAACTATCAATAATGTGTATCTTTAAATCTTCAAGTCTATTGAAACCCAATATAAAATACTAATCAATGGATCTATTACATGATTTAAAATTACAGAAATAGAGTCTAAAGTGATGGCATATTTTTTAGTTTGATCTGTGTTTCGTCATCATAATTTTGAATGTTACAAATTTTCTTTTTTAATCTAATTTCACTTTAGTAAAATCACTGGAGAATGGAAATAAGAAATTTCTTCTTAACAGTTTTATTTCTTTTTGTGTTCATCTTTGCTACAAATACTTTAGTTTTAAATGCTTAATTGATTTAATTTTTAGGATCTGCATCATAAAATCAGTTGATAATTCATCTATAACAGCATTTTGTGTTCACGAGTGTGAGGGTTCAAATAGAATGGGTTCAAGGCCTAGACGTTACATATTTACTGGTCACAGCAATGGAGCTATACAGGTATATAAAATTTGTCAATCTAAGAATAGCCAGTGCTGTAGCTGGTGTGGAACTTAGTTCCCCGAAATGTTATTTGTTGTAGTAAAAAAAAAAAAAAAAAATTTTTGAAAATCATTTCAAATCAATTTTCTTTCCTTTTTCATTCTTTTTCTTATTTATATTTCGTTTATTCAAAGAAAGTTAGTTTTTGTGTCTGCTTTTGTAACATAAAATATAGTCTGTACTAATTAATTAGCATATTTGATTTGTGGTCATTCCCGCGAGCCATTAAGATTAAGTTCTAGAATGTGAAGCTACAATCATTAGACATGGTGCATATCGTTTTTAAAAAGTGCTTAAAGGTGCTTATTTTTGATTTTCGTTTTTTAAAGGCCCTTAAAGATGCTTTTTCATTGCAAGTTTTTAAAAAGTGCTTAATTTTCCTTTTTCGAAAATGAGTTTTTTTTTCTTTAACCATGTCGATTTTCGCTACGTATTATGCAAAAGTGTGTTTTTTATATTGTTCTATTCAAAATTGCTCACAAATTATTCAACCGCAATCTATTTCGGCGTACCATCGGACCATAGCGTATAAAAACGCCAATCACTTTACATGTTTGATGAAATACTTACAAGTCCGCTTGTGCATCTACTGAACTGAGTTCTGTGAGATTATTGCACTCACATGTGCAACTCTGCTGCATTTTACAAGATATTCTCAAATTCCATCCTCTGAACCGAAAAACCTCTCGATCTTTTTATAATGGCTAATGTATTTAAAAAAAAGTTCTTTGTCAGAAACTAATTATTTTATCACGGTCATGTAAAGTTTTTGAAAATTATTTTGCATTTTGTTAAAGTATAGAGAGTGCTTAAAAAGTACTTGAAAGGTGATTATTTTTTGTTGAATGATTTGGCTGCGCACCCTGTTATTAAATAGTTGGCTGCATTATTATCAAAAATTCTAGATGTAAGTTGTTAGATTAAAGTTTAAAAGTCATGGTGAGTTAAATCATATTGTGTGTTTAAAAGGATTAGAACTAGGTGTCCCTTCCTTCATCATCCATATTTCATTTACACTTTAATTATGTATTTCAACGATACTTGAAAATCACATTCTAAACCGAGAATTCGTAGAATTTCTATATCAACACAATTATAAATTGAAGTGTTCATAGTCACAACAATTTAAATTTCTTTATTCTATCAAAAGTTTGTGAAATATAAATACCAAAAAAATTTGAGAAAATGATTAAAAAGCATACACACATTTCACTCCTGTGTTAATTATGAAGCATCATTAAATACTTTAGAGCATAAAAGAAAAATCCTCATTGTTCCTTAAGTAAATGCAAAAAAAATTTCACTATATGTGTAGTTGAAAAATATTAAATAATCCTCATTATTTGATGAATAAATAAAAAAAAGTTTCACTACATGCATGTTTGAAAAATGTTAATCCTTATGACATGACAAGTAAGAAAAGCTCCATTATGAAAGTGTTTGATGATTGGATTTTTTGAAAAATATTAAGCTGATGTATGTATGGGTTAAAGCAATCATAGACCATCTTTGCTTTTCTAATTTTCTTTATTTTTAAAAAAAAACAAAAAAAAAACACCTTGTTAATTTTTGGCCATTACTTTAGGGAGACACGTTAATTATTTTATCCATAAAGTTGTAAGATCATTTAAATTTTCATTAATATAAATTTTTTATTGTTAGTTTATTTTATTTTGCTGTAATTTTTGAGTACATATTTTTTCAACTTTACAGATGTGGGACCTTACTACTGCTTTGGATCTTGCATCTAAAGGAGACCAAAGTAAGTTTTTTTTCTTCTTCCATTTAATGTTAAAAGTAAAGTAGAATTTTGTGAAAATCTTTGGCTATATTTCGGGTTATTAATTTTTTATTTATCAAAAAAGTGGAATCAGAAATGTATCACTTGGTAAAAAGAGAACATAAAAACATGTTTACCCATAAATAAATATGTATTTTTGCGAATGAATTAAAATTTTTTTTTCCTTTATGCATGAATGAAACACGTTTTAAGAATTCCTCTTTTATGTAAGGAAAAATATTTGACTTTATTTCGTCCCTCTGAGTTTCTAATTGAAGAAATTTATAATACCTAGCACTCGTTTAAACTATTCATATCCTCTGCATCTTAATATGCCGCTAAAAAAATGTTTTCTAATTAATAAATTTTTTTCACTTTTACAACTTTTAATTTAGATAAAATAAAAATCATTCCACGAGAAATCTTAAAGCCTTTAACTATTTTAAAATTGAATTTCTATCAATACACTTTTGAATTATAACTTCATTTTCGATAAAAAATTAATATTTTTATGAAATTTCTTGACTGGTTAATGCAAACTTTATTATTGTTATTATTAATTGTTATTATTTTTAAATATATTTTTCATTACTAATTTAAAAAAAAAAAATTTGCTTGGTTTCAGACTAGAATTAACCGATTCAAATGCGTAACAGGTCAAATAAAACATAAAGTGAATAATTTTTTTAAAAACAAATTTAATGTTAGAATTATGAATGGTTGACCATGTAAAACTAAGCGTTTGGAGGTTAAAATTCGTCAGAAGACTTCCAGGTTACTACTTCCAATTGACTTTTACCTCTAAGCTCCAAAAAAATGCACCATCTACTACTATTATTATACTGGTAGTGTTTTCTATATAGCACATTCTCTCAATCTAATTTTCAACAAAATAAACAACAAATACATTCGGAAGACTCCGCAAGCTACCTAAAAAATAACAAACAGCGCTAATTTACACAAATATAGCTAAATAAGGGATAACATTAAAAACAGGGCTAGCTTTACACTTTATTTATGCTGTGATATTAATTTTGTTAAATTTGTTTTAGGCTCGCGTCATGTTAGAATTTATAAATTACAGGAAACTCTTATGAATAGTAAAATTAAAGCATACATTTAAGCATAAATCACAATAATAAAACCTAACTTTCCAAAATATTAAGCCTGTTTAAGTCTGAATTTCTTCCGATTTTAGGAAGCTTGTTATTTTTTATTCAGTCAACTATCCGTACTTTTAACAATTTTGGAATTACTTCAAAGTTATAAAAAATCTTATAACATGCTTTCTTAAAATATTTTGTTTCTTCAACTAATTTGGAATCTTTTTTTTTTTTAGGTTGTAATTTTACTGGTGGACCTTCCTCTCATGAAATGATTCGTCTTTTGGATCAGTGTGATCTCACTAATTCCCACTGCTCAACGCCATGTGTCAGCCCTTCTATTGCGACTCTTGAAGCAAATTCCAAACTGAAAGCTTCTAACGTAGCTTTTTTGAATCATCAAATTAAACTTTTTCCAGAATCCACTCAATCAGATGATAGAGTATTAAATACATGAAAATTAATCTTTTTTAAATAAAAACCAAGCTATAAATTATTTTTATAAACATTGTATTATTTGCTGCCGGCTGTTATTGAATGAAAAGGTAAAAAAGGCATTTGAGAATGTAAAAAAAGTGTGTTAACATGTCGAGTGATATTTTACGAAACTCAAATTGCAAATCATAGCTGCCAACTTTTTGTGATTCTTGAGGTTTTTGAAATAGTAATAATTTTTTTTTTTTTAGTTTTTGAGGATTATGTCTAACTTTTGCCAGCATTATCATTGGCTCTCATATATGTATAATTTGAATATTATATTTATTAGGGTGGTTAAAAGCATTTTAAATCACATTTGAACAAAAGATGAAATAAAAAAAATCATATACTTTGCTACCAATAGAAAAAATCTCTCTCAAAAATCAACACCTTTGCATTATAATTCATAGCGGAAGTTATGTTGAATGATATCTTGAAACATTCAAATTGCTGATCATGTTATAATTCATAATGGAAGTACAAGTTTAGTGGTTTTATTAAACACTAAATTAAACATATAGTAATTGGCAGTAAATATAGAACATTGATTAAAAGAGCAAATTGTTTAAAATAAAGAGCGGCAGTTTTCAATGAAAAAAAAAAAGAGCAGCTTCGTGATTCTATTCTTTTCCAACTTATTTTATCAAATTTACTGAACTGAGAGTTTCTAGTAATTTTAAAGGAATCAGACAAATTTTTTAGACACTTGAAAAATTCAGGAAAATTCTCAATTTCTGTAAAAACTAAAATACTTGGCAACTGAACTTTTTTGTATAATTTTTTTTAAAATCTAAATAAATTTTTGAATTGTAAATCTTTAATTTATATAAAATTTTTTTTAATGGAAGTGTAAATAAAAATTAATGTTTAAGCATGTTTTTTTTTTTTTTTTTTTTTTTAGTTTTTTNTTTTTTTTTTTTTTTTTTTAATTGTGTGGTTGATTTTATATCACTAAATATTTTGATTGCTTGTAAATTTAAGAATACACAGTAAGACCTGTTTATCTTTGGTCAAGTACAAAATTGACAAAAAAAAAAAACAAAAAAAAACGATTTCACTTTTCGTAAGTTGACTGCATCTCTAAAGAGATCATTAAATTGTTTCCCCACCCACTGGTTGCCAAATTACAGAAGTTTCATTCGAGCATTGCGAAAAAAAATTATGAGCATAAAAGTCGAGGATTCAGAACTTTGCCAGACACTCCCTAAAATCTCACTGTTCTTCGACTGAACTCATCAAGAGGCCTCGTTTTGATATTGTACTAGTTACAGTATCCCTTTGTAGAATGTTTTATACTGTGATGAAGTTTTTTTATATAATTTATATCTTTGATATTTTGTTTTATTTATTCTTTTTCTTAAGTTACTCGAACGCATTTTTCCCATTGCCTTGCAATTTTTTTTTCCTCGAACAGGAAAAGATATTTTGTAAAAGTGGTTGATCTGTGTTAACTTCTCAATAAGTGTGTGTTAAGAGATTTATTATGTTTTATGTTTGTCCATATTAATTATTCAATAATTTTAATAAAGTATACATAAAACCTTTTGCATGTTTGTTTCATTATCATATTCCAGGCACATTTGAATTAGTGAAACACTTTAATTAAAAATATTTTAGAATAATTTTAAAAATTTTTAAGTTTTTATTATTAAGTAACAAACTATGTTGAGAGCTTAAACAATATAATTGTTGAAAAAATTATTCCAATTAAGAATTCAATAAGTTATAACATTTTGTTAGCAGTTGATAAAACACATATGTCACCTTTTACAGTCTTTATCAGTATTTTAAAGAGTGTGGGAACACTGTTTAGCTACATAGGGATGTGGTTTGGACTAAGTCTTGTTTCCATCTGCTATTTTGTTGTATCTATTTGCCTTTTAATTTATCATCCCATAATCGAAATGATAAAAAAGTAAATAAAATAAACATTTTATTTTTATAAAAGTGTTCATTGTTTAGTTTTTTTTTAGCCAAATATTTACAACTTGGAAAAAAAAAGTACTATACATTTCACGTTAAGAGAAAAGTTTAATATCTGCTTCAGATATTAACACAACACATTTTTAATAAAATAACATTTATTGTTAGTGTGTAAGTAAATCTAGATTTCAGTTTATGTTTTTTTGTTGAGTGTAACAAAGACAAATTGTCTGATTTAGAGCTATGATATGAAAAATTAAAAGAAGGAATCTAAGCATTTTTTAAAGATTTTATCTGCTGTAGAACGAATACCTTTTCAAAAGCATACCTTTTCTTCCTGCAGCATAATAAGTTACTTATTGAAACTGAGTTAAGTCAACTCTAATAGAATGAATCACCAATATAGTTTTAAAAAATTGGCTAAAAACTAAATTTAGAGATAACAAATTTACTGTACCAAATTGCATTGTTAATAAATAAATCTAGAATTGAAATCAAATATGTCATTAAATTGAAACAAAATAAGCATAACTAAAACTAATTCCTGCCAAAACAGTGATAATCTGTCGTCATCAACCATCTGATTTAAATTTTCAATCTTATTAAAATCTACCTCATGTAGGACACTGAGAGCATAAAATTATGAGAGAAAAAAACAATTACTATAGCAAAAATTTAATAAATAGTTGCCTAAATGAGAAATTTTTTTTTTAATATTATAATTAAGATTTTATTAAATGACTTAATTGTCATAATACCATTATACATTTAGTCAAGTTGGTTGCAAATGTGATAATTTTTATGTAAACGTTTTGTGTTCTAGCATTAAATTTTTATATAAAAAAAAATATACTTTTTCATTAAAAAAGCATACTTTGTCTAAACAATTTCCCATTTCATCAATAATGGATTTAGCAAATATTGTGAAAAGTGATAACTCAAATTCGAAATTTGTGCATCATAATATTATATTAAAAATTGGGTTATTTAAAATCATGCAGAATTTCATAGCAAGAACCGTTGAAAAGGCGATCAAGAAACAAAATAGACTTGCTGTTGCTCATTTACGTCGCACTAGAGCTGCACAATGGGCTATTGGCGACGGTCTGGGAAACATCCCTGAGGATGATCCGAAGACATGCCATCACAATTTTGATCCTCTGCAGAGGGGATGGCACCCCCGCTTCGGTAGCCCGACGACCTGCCCGCGAAGTCGAGCACTTTACTGTAGCACAGTTTAACGAGGGCCAATACCGCACAACCTCGGTTCCTACGCAGACTGATCCAAGTAGTCACCCACCCACACACTGACCGCAGCCAGTGATGCTTGACTTCGGTGATCTGATGGGAACCGTGTCTTAACGATCAGTCCACTGCGGGACAAAATAGACTTGTAGTGGGATATGTGCAAATTGAGAACATTAAAAAATGATGACTCAAATCTGCAATTGAAAATTTTCAACATCTTTTATTTTTTAAGAAAAGAATTCATTGTGTACAGAAACTCCCGTGAGCCACAGGTTGTCATCTCAATTCATGCTCAAAAAGCATCGCTAGGAGTACAGAAAAGTCTCCCAATTGTCTCATTTACCTTAAAATAGTTGCTTTTTAATACTTTTCAGGCAAAAAAGTTGACATAGTCGCCTGTGGTAAACCTGTTTCTTTTACAGTTAAGTGAACAACCAAAATTCTTTATATAATCATAGCTGCCAACATGGATCAAATAAAATCCAGTAGATTTTACGAAATACTATAAATTAGATAACAACNTTTAAAGACCAAGTGGCCTGAAGAAGTCCGGACTACTTAACGACCGTCTGGGGTCAGTGGGGAACTTTGAAGGGTGAATGGGTAGTAGTGATGCTGTCTACGCAAAGTCATCCCAGAAGGGGTGATTCTTCATCAATCTTCAGCTGTCAAACTCAAAGTTGGGTGGAGGGGTGACCAGCAAGTGAGAGGATTAAGGGGAGGGTGACCAGAGGAGCAAAATAAGTCGATGTGAGGGGGTTGCTACAGGAGTATCCCTTATCGCCCCTTACTTGCCAAATTTTAACTTCAAACCATGCAAAAAGGAAGGCTCTTCGCGGTGGATTCCAAATGGCAATGTTTATCTTTTTTCTTCAAGATGCTTATCGCCAAACAGTTCTTTAATGAAATGAGCTAGTCCGTACTGCATTCGCTTGAAACCTTCGGAATAATCAAAAAATTGTTTTCTAAATGCAATGGCATCAATTAGTATTCTGGAAGATTAGAGATAACAAGCTTCCCGATGTGGATTATAATGCAGCTTATTAGGAGAAGATAATAACAACATTTTAATTTAATCTAATGATTTTAAAGTAAGCTTATAATTTTAGTTTGTAGTTATTTAATTGTAAAATACGTGCCCCTCAGTATATTTTTTTTAATTGCAGAATATTTTAAAAGTTGTTTTAAAACTTCACAAAGTTATTCCTGGTTAATTAAAAAATAATAACATCAGACAATTTATCAAAATTTAATAGAATAATTTCATATTTATCACTTTTACATAAATAGTTTTATAAAAATTATTATGTTTTTTAATTATAACTTATTTTAATATAATATCAACATTTTAATATAACTTAACGATTTTAAAGTAAGTTTATAATTTTAGTTTGTAGTTATTTAATCGCAAAATACGTGCTCTTCAGTATAATTTTTTTAATTGCAGACTATTTTAAACTTCACTAAGTTATTCCTTATTAATTAAAAATTAATAACATCAGACAATTTATCAAAATTTAAAATAATAATTATAAATTTATCACTTTTATATAAATAGTTTTATTAAAATTATTATGTTTGTTAATTATAACTTATTTTAATATAATTTTAAAAGAACTTAACGATTTTAAAGTAAGTTTATAATTTTAGCTTGTAGTTATTTAATTACAAATTATTTTTTTTAATTAATTACAGTCATTTCTTATCAACATTGCAGAATAATTTCCAAAGATAATTTTTAGTTTTTGTAACAGTCTTTATTTTGTTAAACTCAGTTTCATAGCGTTAAAAGAATTCCACCTTGTTTTGAACTCTAAACTTATATTGTGACAAATTATGAATTCCTAATAAAGATTTATAAATTACTTATGTCTAATAATCCTTTGATTTTTAACCAGTAAGCTATCAATGATTTTAATCTTAGTTTACATTTTTAATTTGTAGTTATACAGTTTAATTTGTGTGCATTATAATTTTTTTCAGTTGGCTTGAATAGCCATTATGGTGTCATCGTTATNCTACTTACGATCACTATAAATATTGATAAATTAGGGGGCCCACAATATGGTACCATTGAAAAAGGGCAAAAAAGTACTTAAAATGCTTGTTATAAGTCAGCCAGACAGTTGTAGGATAGAAGGTACGGTAGGGTCAAATGATAGAAAATAACAAATTGCCAGTCCCGTGGGTCCTGGGTTCGAACGCCACGGACAAAGTTTTTATTTAAAAATTATGTTTAATAAAAAAAAATATTATTTTACAATATTACTATACTTTTTTCAGTTAAAATTATTTCTTTTCTAAGTGCTTATAATAGCCAGTCGTGAGGGTCCTGGGTTCGAAACCCAGAATTATTTAAAAATTATGTTTATAAAATTTTTTTTCAATTAAAATTATTACATTCCTAAGTGCTTATAATAGCGCTAATAACGTTTTTGTGTTTGATTATATAACTTAAAATATCGCCTGCACTAATTAATTAGATTATTTCAGGTCACATCTTGAACTTTTAAGATCGAGACCTAGAACATGAAGATCCGATCATCAGAGCAAGAGCTATTCAGGGTTGTCCGCTTTTTGCTGTTGTTTTTTTTTGACCCTCTGCACAATGCATAAAAAGTAAAAATCAAAACCTTTTTCGTTAATGGTTTGCCAGGAGACATGTAGAAAAAAAAAATTCTAATTATCTAAATTCGTAAAAATAATTGTTGATAATTTATGAGTGAAGAATGAAATTGTGATGAAATTTTCCACTATTATTAAAAATAAAAATAATTTTTTCTAACTTTAATTGATAATTAAATAATAATGCGGACACGGCAAATAAAAGAAGCCGGAATATAGAACGGGCTACAAAGAAAATTTCGAAACTCTAACTTGCCAATAAATGAAACAAGCTGTTTTTGAATTTTATTATTAAAGCTAACTTAATTATTAAAGCAAACAATATTAAAGCTAACTTTTCCAAGTGGTTGATATATTGTACTATATATAAAGTACAAATATATTGTACTATATACAAAGACACAGGTATATAAAGACAGATTCAAGGAAGACACAAAACAAAAAGAAACATGCATGCTTCATAAAAATATAAATTTTTTATTTTAACAAATATACAAAAACAATTATAAAAAAGAAAAAAAAATAATGCAACAGGTTTGAGAATATTTTGATCATAAGTCATGTCAATTCATAACCTCTACTTTCGCTCTACATGCTTCCAAGAAAAGAAAATTGAATGCCTTTAAAAATCACTGTTTAAATACAAATAAAAACTGAGATAAATACATTAGATAGATATGCATGTGTATAAAGTAGTTTCAAAGAATATACATATCAAATTAACAATTCATCATTTTTTATTAATATGTCATTTTTGCTGCTAAGTACAGCTGCAATATCATTTGAGGTATATAAATGAATAAATCCCAATCAGTTTACAACTTTGATGACAATTTAAAAGAGTCCAATAGTTTATATACAAGGGATTTATCGCCATTAATTTCAGTAGTTTTTGCAGAAAGAACCTGTAAAAAAATTAAAAAGGAAAATCAATCTTTAGAATTGAATCAGAATTTTATAAAAATTAGGTTATTAATTTTAAAAAAATGGAAAAAGAATTTTTTTTTTCTCCTTCAATATAAATAAATTGAAACAACATAAAGCAACCTGAAATCTTCTAAACTTTACTTTAGTTGATCTTTAATTTAGGAATTTTTTATAACTAAGAATATTAGTAAATTATTCAGTTCATAGCTGTAGCTAATTTTAATATTAAAAATGCTTTTAAAAAGTAAAACTACTTTCATGTTAATATTTTTTTTTGTTGCCAAAACATACACATAGGTATTTTTTTAAAAAAAATAGAGCTAAGAAAACTTGTTTTAATAATAAAAAATGATTTATGCAGTTATTTGAAAGTGACCAAACCACATTTGATGTAAGTGCATATTATATATATATATATAGAAACAGTGTGCAGAAAAACTAATTTTTTTGATAGTTAACTACTTTTTTTTATTACAAATGTAGTCAACTAGAATTTAGAATGTATTGATTACAAACTACTTTTGAAATGTACTTAACTATTTTTAGGAGTCAAATTTTTCTACAGACGGATCTAAATTTGCCTTATCTTAATTTAATTATATCTTAATTTACACTGATGTTCAAAATGGTTTTGAAAAATATACTAACTAAATAAATATACTAAATAATTAAGAAATATTTATTCAGGTTATTATATAGAAATTATCAAATATTTGTGATTTTGTTAAGCATATAAAGCATTTTTATTTCCTCTAAGAAATAAAGTACATAAAAAAATAGAGAGAAAATGTATTCCACTCCACTGGAATAACATGTACATCTTTTAGTATTTAATGTGTACATTTCGATTTGAAGGCATGGCTAAAATGATATAGTAGTTATTCTTCATTATTACTAGTTTAAATGTCAGTAATTAACATATCTAATGTCTAGATTAAGGGAAAAACTTGCCGCTGTGTAACATTTGAACCTTTATTCTTTAGAGGATGCGTAGCCAAATATTTCAACAAAAAATAAGCAGCTTTTAAGCACTCAAAAAGTATTTTCAAGCACTACACACATTAACAAAATGTAAAATAATTTTCTAACACTTTACAAGATCATGATAAAATAACCAGTTTCTGACAAAGAACTCTTTTCTCGATTATATTAGCCATTATAAAAATATCAAGAGGTTTTTAGGTTCAATGTCAGAGGGTGAAAAATGAAGCCTGAAATTGAGAGTATCTTGTGAAATGCAGCAGAGTTGCATATGAGAGTAAGAATCTCACCGAACCCAACTCAGTATATGCACATGCGGACCCGCAAGTATTTCATCAAACATGTCAAATGAATGGCGCTTTCATAAGCTACGGACCAACGGAAAACCGAAATAGATTGTGTTTGAATGAATTGTGAAAACGTTGAATAGAACAATGTTGATAGCACGCTTTTGAATACCATGCGGCGAAAATCGACATGGTAAAGAAAAAAATCTCATTTTTGAAAAGGGAAATTAACCATGTTTAAAAACACTCAATGAAAAAAGCACCTTCAAGGGCTTTTAAAAACTAAAATCGAAAATAAGCACCTTCAAGCACTTTTTAAAAAGGCTATGCACCATGCTTTACTAAAGTAACATTAAAAGCAAACATAAGGAACGATAACAAGGTACTGTTTTGGTTGTACCACACTATTCCTTTGAAAAAGGAGAGAACAATTATACTACAAAATATATATAAAAAAAAACTACATTAGTTTAACTAGTAGTAGCACACTACTTACGATCACTGTAAAAAAGTAAAGCAATCGCTCAACAGCCTGTTCGGGGTCATGGAGGTTAAAGGTCTGCAATTTCATAACCAGCGACATGAGTGTGACAATGAGGTCAGCACTGGCGGACTTTACTTCCCTGAAAAGCTGGTAGCCATTGATTTGAAGAGGAGGGGGAGGGGGGCTTCAAGTCACCACTATGGATCTAAATTCAGTTCACTACGACATTTGAGCTCCTTAACAGCTGAGCCATTAAGGCTCTATTATATTTATATATTTTTACTTGTATATTTAGTAGTTAGTGGGTCTCAAAGCTTTTTCTTCTTTTTACATGATTGGTGCCCTGGTTAGGTTGGAAACTGCTGCACTAGATTATACGAGCAGCAGCAATCATCACTAGATACTATTACCGAATCGCAGGGTAACTTCAAAGGTTACACACATTTTCAAAACTGAAGTGGCACATCTTTAATCAATGTAAAATTTAGTGAAATTTGCAAAAACATTTTCTTGATTGACAATTCCTGTATTGAATAACATAGAGAAAAATCACATCTCAGAAACATTGTAAACTAAAAATTACATTAAGGGTCGAAATAATATCAGAAAATATTGATATCTAATGATAAAAAAATGGTCTAATTTTAATAATATGCATTTCTTTTTAAAAATCTTGGACATTTTTAAAAAGAAAATATTTTTTTATATTTCAAAATTGTCAAACGAATTTATTCATAAGTAAAAAAATAATTCATTGTAAATTCATAGTAAAATTTGTAAAATTATTTCTTTGATAGACAATTCCTCTATTGAATAATATAGAGAAAAATCGCATATCAGAAACATTGTAAAGTAAAAATTACATTAAGGGTTGAAATAATGTCAGAAATTATTGATAAAAAATAATGATAATGATAATGATTTAAAAAAATTATCAAATTTCAATAATATATATATTTTTAAAAAAAATCTTGGATAACATTTTTCAAAGGGAAAAAAATGTTTCTTTCAAAATTGTCAAACAAATTTATTCATAAGTAAAAAAAAAATGTTAGCCCAAACACAACAATTACAATTTTTGATAATCATAAAGATATCAACCAACTTAATCTACTCCATATTTATCGCTGTAGTCAATTATTGCATACTTGATTTACAGTTTAGTACTTGCAGAATATTTAAATAAAAAAATCAAATTACTTGATTAGTTTGTATTTTATGAAGGATCCAGTCAGCAAAAATATCATCATCAACTGTTATAAAAATAGAGGGCTTCATGCCATTTTTAGCAGGTCCACGGGAAAGCATACCTTTTTCAGTTTTCAAATCCATAACTATGAAAAAGAAAAACATTCTATGTATCATTGAGATATTATTATAGCCTTATATATTTCAATGAAACTGTGGCGTAACTACCACTGCGACTATTAAACATCAATTCACTAGTATATAAGACATGCTAACTCTATTTTATTGAGAGGTACCTTTTGATAGATGAAGGTTGGCAGAGTCGATATCACTGTCCCTGGTGACCTAGATGACCCTAGCAACATTTTACCTTGGCCTCAGTTGGGTTCAAAATTAGCTTAATATGGGTCCTATAAAAATATGCGCCAAGGGACCAATATTGGGAAGTCTAGATGCCTTTATAATTGGTCCCAGAATACATGGGTCCTACATTGGCCTATATAGAATCTAAATTGGCTAAATAATGGATACAAAATATCAGGTGAATCTGACAATTCTATACATGATTGATATTGGTTATAAAGTGGCTGTAAAATATTGGAATCAAAAAATTCTACATAGGGCCAATATAGGAAAAAATTGACCTGCTATTTGTGACTGCAGCATTGTCCTTTTCAAGCTGTTGCTTCACGATCTCAATTTCACAGAACGGAATCCTGCACTAACTCGACTACTAATAGCAACACAGGAGAGAGCAAACACACAACCAGCTCTCAGTAACAGCATAATACAGCTCAGAGCAAACTCTCAAAAAAGTGAACACTCAGTGAACTTAATACAACTCTCCCAGTCTTTCGCAAATACAGCAACTAGTGGTATCCGTTCATCAAATTCTATCCTAGATAAAATTCTGGTGGGGGAGTATTATGGTGTAACTACCATTATGATTATTAAACATCAGTTCACCAGTATAAAAGCCATGCTAACTCGATTGGATCACAAGGTACCTTTTGATTAATGAAGGTTGGCATTGTCGATGAGACAGTCTCTACAAAGCTAATTATAAAATTTAAACGAAAAAGAATATTCAAAGTAAAAACTTAATACACATACTTGATTATTAGGGATAAGATGTTAATGATCTAAACATTTTTTTAAAAAAAAGCAAGCCTTAAAGAAAAAAAAAAATTCAAGACTTTAAATGAAAAAATAATGGCCTTAATACAGCTCACCGTAAAACTTTTTTTTTGAAACTATATTTTATGTTAGCTTTTTCTAAAAAAAATTATAAATCATAGCTTGAGTTTGTATTATATATTTAAAAAAAAATAATGTTATAATTAAAATAAATACATAATTTTGGAAAAAAAATAAAATGTAAGTAAGGTAATACTTAATAAAGATAAATCAATCAATTTTGCAAAAAAATTACACTGCATTATCAAGTCTTGTTTAAATATTTTTAAAATTGAAAGATCACCATTAATTCAAAATCGAATTCTTTTATATCTTGAAAAATGTGTTAAACTTGTAATATTGGAGGAAATGAAAAACAATGAGATGTGTGAGTATGCATATATAAATATGTACATTGAAAAAATGTTTACAATTTTTTTTAAAGAAGCTATTACACTCCGAAAAATAGGTGTAAAAGTTGAAACTTGTAGAAATGTATATGTGTATATAGATGTGTCTGTGTGTGAGAGAGAGAAAGAGAGAGTGAGAGAGAAAAAAAAAAAACATGAGCACAAGCAAAATAATGCTCTTAATATCATTCAAAATAAAAAAGGGAAAAAATTCTAAAAAATAAAAATGCTTAAAATGCATTTATTATCAATATCTGTCCTGTTGATCGCATATAGTCAAAACGTGATAACAAAAACATAATTGCCATTGTCTTTCTCTCATATGCCTGTTAAGGCAGAGGGGAGTGATTGTTCTTGTTTTCCAGTGACGCCATGGCCAAGAATTAACTTTTGCCATACCATACGTCACACTTGTTTTATAAGGCGGACCCATTCATACATCCACAGATCGTAATTTCGAACTGAATCAGAGAACGACCAATCTCCAATTCAGTACCCCCAGAGGCATCGATTTGTTATGGGAAGATGGAGGACTTTGCGACTAGATAGATTTTACGTGCATCAGTGACCATTTACTACACATGGAGTGTTCGGCCGGCGGGGTTCGAACCCACGAATTCTCGGACATGGGCCCAGCGCCCTACAGACCAGGTTACCCTGGCCCATAAATACCATTAATTTATTTTAATGCAAACTAAATTTTTGAACCCCCTTTTAAAATTGAGTTAGGATAAAACACTTTTTAGTACTTTAAACTAGAACATGCTTAAAATTAAACATCTCTTTAGGTAAGTTCAAATTTAAACTACCTTTAAAAAAAACTTCATGTTGACTGACAGAATTTAAAATTTAATAAATGGAAAGTCACTTACTCCACTGTGTTTCTTTTTTGCCATTTTTGGTAACATTCCATTCAACTACAACATCAAATTCCTTGACTAATTCAGATTTTCTAGCAACTCTAGTTCCGAGTTCAACAAAACAAGGTTCACTTCTCAAAGATGGATCAAATGGCTGGAAGAGAAAAAAATAGTTTTGAATAAATTTAAAGAGTTTTTTTCTTCTTCTCTTTAATACAAAGTTACTTTTTCATAATTCAAAATCGATAAAAATATTGAAAAAATCTGTTATGATTTAACCGTTGATCAAATTTATAATCAGAATTACTACATTCTGTGAAGGAATTAAAAATTGGGCATCATGTATTGTTGAGGAACAAGTTAAAGCTTCTCGGCCAAGATAGCGCACCAGATCATTCTGAAGATGTTTCTAGCAGAGTATAATATCCCAGTGTTAGACTATCCACTTCATTCACCTGGCTTTGGATTGTGCGAGTACATTCTTGTTAGATAAATAAATGCCAAAAGGGTTTTTTTCTATTTTGATTAAATAACATAAAATTAAAGGTATAAGGTTTGCTCTTCGTCCATCGTTCAAGATAACGATCTCATGCATTCAACTTCTGTTGGTAACATCAGGGTCTGCTTTGATCGGACAATTTATTTTCATTTGCTTGGATCATGACGTCATCCGGTTTCTGTTTGAAGAGTATTTAAGCTTCTGTTGAAGCAATATAGATGGTATTCATTCTTTTCGTTAGTCACTCTGAGACAGTTTGTCTACCAATGTTTTTAAAATAAATTTATTGCTTTAGAAACTTCATTTTCTTGTTGACCTAACAGATACAATGATATTCTGTCTCAGACGTTCAATCTCAGACGTCAATTCTATCCTTTCGCCAAAGTCAAATCTGCATTAAAAAAACAAAATAACACAAAAAAGGGGTGCACATCATGAAGGAGTTCACAAAAGAGGACTTCCAGCACCGTTTCAAACAATGGGGAATTCGCAAAAGGTATGAATAAAAAATGTTTTACAACAATAGTCTACCTTGTCATTTAATAGCCACATGAAAAGGTTTGAATAAAAAATGTTTTACAACAATAGTCTATCTTGTCATTAAATAGTCACATGAAAAGGTATGAATAAAAAATGTTTTACAACAATAGTCTATCCTGTCATTAAATAGCCACATGAAAAGGTATGAATAAAAAATGTTTTACAACAATAGTCTATCTTGTCATTTAATAGCCACATGAAAAGGTATGAATAAAAAATGTTTTACAACAATAGTCTATCTTGTCATTTAATAGCCACATCTTGTATTTCAATATGAGTTCAATATGATAGTCATGTAACATAATCAGGGGTCTGTCTAGTTTTTTCTGAGAAGTACCTATTTTGTGAAAATTTAGACATAATTTGTAAAAAATTTAAATTATAATAAAAAATCAACACAAAAATATGGTAAATATAATGGATTTATCGTTTCTTACATGAAAAAAAATTAAGAAAAAGTATTTGTGAAACTACCGTTAAATGGTAGTAAATTTGGCCTGGGCAGACCCCTGATAATAATACAAGTAAAAGGAAGCAATTTGTTTACTTTATCAGCTAGAATGGCTGAAAGGATAGGCAGTTCAACAGCTCGGCCTGATTTCAGAATTTCTTGCCATAACTGGTTCAACTTCTGAGTAAGCATAATATTTCCTTTGATTTTTAGTCTGCCAGTCATGAAGGCCTGCAAATATTGAGCAACAAATTAGTTTTAAACACATTTAAAAATATTGATGAAAAACATGTTAACCAAAGTTAGTAATCTGCCTACTAATTGACTTCTGACATTTTATGAAAATATTAACATTACAATAGAACTTAATCAGCGCACATTACATATATAGAGCTTAGTGTTAAAATTTAAAGCCACATTTTAATAAATTTGGGGAAATTGGTCATAAAATCAAAAGAAATACAAGGAAGCTATTTACTAATAAGCTTCTTTTGGTTGAAACTTACCTTATTTAAAGATTTAGTTATAAGTTGTGGCATAACTACCACAAAAATTATTAATTATCAATTCACTAGTATATAACACATGCTAACTCGATTCAATCTTAGGGTACCTTTATATAGATGAAGGTTGACATGAAGGATGAACGAATCTCACCACATTGGTGACCTGCGTATGTAATATGAACTCGCCTATATCGAAAGTAACGCCTACTTCAATGGATGGTCAACACTGAATAATTGATCCAGCTATTTGTGTATGCCTCATTGTCCTCCACACATTGTTGCTACTCAGTCTTTATTGCACACAACGGAATCTTGTACACACTCGACTGCTAATAGCAACACAAGAGCGACCACGCACACAACCGTGAACTTAATACAGCTATCCCAGCTGATGCTTCAAACCCGGAGAACTTAATACAACACTCAAAATATGGTGAATTTAAAACACCTCTCCCGGTCTTTTGCAACAAACGGCAATGAATCAACTACTGGTATCTGTGCATTGAATTCTATCATAGATAAAATTCTGGTGGGTGAGTAATGTGGCTTAACTATCACTACAATTATTAAATATCAATTCACAAGTATATAAGACATGTTAACTAGATTCAATCTTCGGGTACTTTTTGATAGATAAGGTTAACATTGTCGATAACACCTCTCCCCCACAAAGTAAAATAAAATGCTATGTTCTAAACTTAGACCAAGAATCTTATAAGTATAAACTTGTGCATGCATACATAATTTTTTTTTTGAAGAGATGACATCCAAGATATTCCCTCACTAGGAAGGGACAATTAAAACCTCAAGAATTATAAGAAACAAATTACAAGTGCCATCATCTATGCCTCTATATGTTTAGGGTTCTATATGTTCAATGATGATGATATTTGCTTATAGGAATTTACGATCGCTCCTGTCGCAATGTTATTAAGTGATATTTCGTAACAAAATGCTTGAAGCAATTCAGGAGAATGAGGTAAGAGAAGATTTACCCTTTGGGGATTAAGTTTTCCCAACATCATGAGAATAACATCTTCATCTTCCATGGTTAACATAACATCAGCCTTTCCATTCTTAGGAGATCCTCGATAAATGGAACCAGCTCCACTCTTCAGGTCAACAGCTAATAAAAGAGAAAATAAATGAGGCAAAGAATACAGAAAGGAGAAGAAGTCCAGCTATTAGAATACGTAACTAAAGGGGGGAACTGCTCGGTTTGGAATGTTATATATTAGAAAAATAACTTTCAGAAGGAGCAATATACTCAGATTTAACAGAGATTTAAAGATTTCTTACAATATATGTAAGTGAAGTATTTTGGTAGAATTGTATTTTTTAATTTGGTATTTTTTAATAAATAATTATTAAGTGGTTCATAATTTAAAAAAATTAAGCTTATGCTTGTTTTTACTATTACATTTCAGTCTTAAGTCAATCCCTCTTATTATTTTAATTTAAAAACAATTTATGCACTGTTATTGATCTTAAAAAAGCATTTTGTTATATATTTCATTTATATAACTGACTTATGATTGACTTATTGTGGGGTTTTGATACAAAAGAAACACTATTTTAACGTATGTTATATCGTGATGTCTAACAAATAATATATCACACACAGCTGCCAACATGGATAGGAAAAAATCCAGTAGATTTTATGAAATAATATAAATTTTAAGAAAATTATTGCATAATGTGCTAACTATTTTACACATAGGGAATTTTAGGGATTTTTAATAGCCATCAAAATCGAAAAACTACAATATTTTCCAATTATGAACATACTTGAAAGGTGTTTACTCATAATTTTGAATATTAATAGGCATTTAATTCATTAAAAGATTCTTTTAACTACAGTAGAGCGCCGATTATCCGAACCCTTATTATCCAAACGTCCAATTATCAGAACTATGTCCGAATTCGCTTTTTTTCCTCATCTCTTTTTTAAGTTTTGAATTTTTTTCACTTATCGACAATTTTTCTAAATTTAAAGGAATAGATAATATCCACTACATCTGAAGACCATATTTAATTTACAACCTTTTTCAGCAGTTTTCTTATAGTAGCCATACATACATGTATTGTTATACAGTTAAACCTACATACCCCTTTAGCCCTCTTCAACTGAAAATTATCATCAAAGAATGNCCTGCAGTCGCTGCAGGACTTCACCTCTTAAACTACCCTACAGAAGAGGATTTATATTCATTTAATGCCATAGAGATTGCAGAGACTTTTCAAGCATACCATGAGATATGATTCAATAGAGGATACAGCACCAACCAACCATTTTAATTTAAAAACAATTTATGCACTGTTATTGATCTTAAAAAAGCATTTTGTTGTAGATTTGCATATATTTCCTTTACATTACTGACTTATGATTGACTTATTGTGGGGTTTTGTTGCACAAGAAACACTATTTTAACGTATGTTATATCGTGATGTCTAACAAATAATATATCATACATAGCTACCAACATGGATAGGAAAAAATCCAGTAGACTTTATGAAACATAAATTTTATGAAAATTGTTGAATATTGTACTAATTATTTTACACATAGGGAATTTTAGGGATTTTTAATAGTCATCAAAATAAAAATACTACAATATTTTCCAATTATGAACATACTTGAAATGATATGTATTGTGTTTACTCATAATTTTGAATATTAATAGGCATTTAATTCATCAAAGATAATTAAAAGATTTTTTAAATTAATTTAAAAGGAGAGTTCTGAATAAAAATAAACTGAAAATTTCAGAACGAAAAAACTTTTGAACTGATTTCTATAAATGAGGTTCGCTTCAGTAAGTATTAGTCATACTTAGTTAGATATTTTAGCAAGCAAGCAATAATCTGTACAAAAATTCTATTTCAATATAAATTTTTTTAAAGAAATTTATTAAATTTTAGGAAATTTTCTAAAATGTACAAAAACTAGGAGAATTATAATTAAATTAGTAGACCAGGAGAAACTGGCAAAAATTAAGTAGTCTACTTTAAACTGGAAGAGTTGGCAGCTATGATTACGTTAGAAAATTTCTTACATAGTCCAGTCCTAAATAAAATAAAATAGGAAATATGGTAATTTTTCTGCTGCTTCAGAGGCCTAACTCCTTAACCAATGATGAATGAAATAAATGTTCTCCTTGTCTAATAAAAATAAAGAAGTACAGTAAAATGTATTTCGACACTGTTGAATGAATAGCACTTGTGTTCACCAAAACAAATGTAATCTTAAGAGAGTGAGTAAAAATAATAGAAATACTCACTCCATTCAGAAATCTTTTTTCCACCTTGTAAAATATTCCAGTTATAAACTACTTTCATTTTTTGAGCAAGTTCAGGTTCCTCTCCCAATCTCTCAGCAAATATCAAAAAGATAAAATCAGATTTCAGACGGGCAGGCATCTAAGAAAACATAAAGCACTCCAATAAGAAAAAAAGGACTTACAATTATTCTGAGATATAATAAAGAGACGTTAAGTGCAGTTTTACCCCCTTGACACATCATCAAACAAACTCTAAACTGTGCGGAATTATTAATTTTTTGATATAGAAATGATCTTGGATTGCACTGTAAACAACAACTTGCAACGGAATGCCGACAGAGATGCCAACTGCTCCGCACACCCCAAAATAATTTTAAAAAATACAGTAAATAACTACAAACTAAATTTTGATAATATTTTACTATTTTTGCTTGCTTTTTAAAAGGCATAACTACTATAAAGTGGTGAAATTTATAGGCTTACGAATAAAAATGGTGGATAAAAATCTATTAAATAGATCTTATTAAACCAAGAATCACAATTGATAAACTACCACTTTAAAATAGTTATTTGCTGTCTGCAGTAAGTTAGCATCTCTGTGTTGCAGATGTCTGAGACACGTCAATTATTGTTCTGACATAAGAAACAAATGACGTCTCCCAGGCGTCCTCGTATGTCAAGGGGTTAAAGAAGTTTATTCTATCCTATTATGAGTTGCCATTGTAACTGAATAAGAGAATTTCCACCTACTTCTGCAAAACTCTGATTTGAATCATCAGAGGCTGGTGCAAAAGACATTTTTTCTTCTTCCTCTGGATTTTCCCAGATAGCTTGCAGTTTCTGAGAGGCTAACACATTCCCAGTAATCTTCAGTTTCCCAGACATAAATGCCTACATAAACAGTGATTAAGATTAATATAATAGGGTTACAATCTTTAAAAGTAATTATTTGTGTGTATGCTTTGATAAAAATAAGCAACAATAAAGCATTAATGAGGAAAAAAAGCTGAACAAGAAATAAAATAGCAGCCAACACAAAATAGAAAACAAAAATAGATTCTATTACTATATAAGTAAAATTTTAAGCAGGTTATCAAGCATAGAGTATACATACCTGCCAAAATTGGAGAAATAAAAAAAGGAGATTTTACTAGCGACATTTTTTAGGCTACGAGTAAAGTTTTGATACATCATGCATAATCATGGAATTGACTTCCATGAAAGAGAAAATCAAAATTGAAAATAATATAAACACTTACATTTAACAAAGTAAAAAATATGTATAGCAATCTTAATCTAAAGAATATTTTTTAAAACCATTATTTATAATTACTTACACCATTTTATTTCGTCAAGTATTGGGAGAAATTTGCCTTCGTGAAGGACTTTTTGATGGAACTAACCCGCATTTGCATTACATGGAGAGGAAAACTACGAAAACCACCCACCGTCAGCCTAAGGGTAAGGGGACTCTAACCCATGATCCTTCTACCATTGAGGATATTTTACGTCAGCACTGTGGTCAGTGCAGAATTTGTATCGACCACCCATAGCTGGGATTCGAACACGGTTCACCTCATTGGAAGGCAAACACTGTCCCCTGAGCCATCGAGGCTCATTTAAACTATTAACACTCGACATACAGCAGTATTGGCAATAGTACCATCTGTTGAGGAATAAAAGCAGTCTTTTGCCACCAGCGGATATTTAATCACCAATTCTTTTTCTTCTTCAAAGTTCTTCAACGTGTATGGAGAAATTTGGGTAAACAGGAGATAGTCGTAAAAGACAGGAGTCTTCAATAAAAAACAGGAGACTTTGTAGGTATGCATATATATTCTAGAAATTTCACTGTAATTCTTAATATTTGTATCCAAATATTCTGATCAACAAATCACTAATTTGGCAGTAAATCCAGGCAAAATAAACTCATGTAAATGAATCAACTTTATTAAATTTATTTAATATCTTAAACTAAAAGTTCTTAGGAATTTTTTTCTAATTGTTTATTAAAATAATGATTAATAACATTTTGAAGTATAAGGTACATCTTACGTTACTTTAAAACAGAACTTTAAATTAAGAAAACTAAAATTTGAATTTAATGGATCAATTAAGTTTCAGAGCTATAAAACTTTACAAATATATTATAAAACTTCCAAAAAAAATCACTTTTTAATTTTCACTTTTGAAAAGTTATTTGACAGTTGGTCAGAGCCCTAACCAAATACACGAATTGTAAAATTAAAATTGAAACCATATTTCCTTAAAGTTATCAGCAAATTTTTATTTTGTAAGACATCCTCAGTACCAATTAATTTGAATAATTAAGGTTTACCCTTTGAACCATAAAAATGCACCCCAGTACAAGAATATCCAAACATTTGATAAACACATTACAACTTAATTGTAACAACAGTTAGCCCATTAACAATGCAACAAAAATGTAATACCCAATAAATTCAATTTTCAAAGCCTCCAAAATACTTAAAACCAGTTTGTAAAAGGATTAAAATAAGGTTTACGCAAGAACCATGGTTAGTATTTTATAATTTGCAATAACTTGAATATTACCATAACTCAATATTTTTATGATTTAAAAACCCTTTTTTAGCCTCACTAAAAATTTCTCAACATGCAGATTAACGTAATCGTTGAAACACGAGGCTTTGCATTATTAAGAATTACGTGTTGCAGGGTGTGTAGCCAGATTTTTCAACAAAAAATAAGCACCTTTCAAGTACTTTTTAAGCACTCAAAAATATTTTTAATCACTTTCCAAAATAATTATTAAGATCTGTACAGTAATAAGAATTCCTTTTTTTTCTATCGTTTAAAGTAATTTATAAACATAAAACCAATAAAATTCAAAAGCATTTTTAAAAACTTCACATAATCATTATAAAATAATTAGTTTCTGATGAATATTGCAGATGATAAATATTGTGAAAGTCATGTATTTTTTGCAATTTAGAACGACAATCGACAAGGCAAAGAAATTTTTTTTTAAAAAAAAAGATAGAAAATTAAGCACTTTTTACAAACTCTGAATAAAACAAGCACCTTTAAGGGCTTTTAAAAAATGTAAATCAAATATATGCACCTTTAAGCACTTTTCAAAAATGCTACGCACCCTGTGTTATAATAGATTACTTCATGCAACTATAAACTTATAAACTAAACATGGCATTGCATCAGTGGCACAGATCAATATTAATGTTATAAAATATTTTTTTAAATACAAATACTATAAATGCAAAAACATGTGCTGAAGTAATTATTATTTGTGGTAAAAATTTAAATTATTAAGAGCATTGGAAAATAAAATTTTTTGATTCAGGTTGGCTTTAGAGACAGTAAAGTTTATGAGGTATATGGTTTATAGAATTGCGTTTCATACATTTTCAACTCTATTTAACTTTCTATTGTCAGTTTTTCGCAGTACAAAAATTAAAAAAAATAGATGAATAAAATTAGCTACAACCAAGGTGATAACAGTTTGTTTTACCCTTCTCTAGCATCAAATAAAGTATAAGTGAAGTATTTCTTATCTTCATATCATTTGCATTGCCAGCATTAATACAACATTCAGTGCCTGACTTATCACAAGGTCCGTGAGGCCCAGGCCTAGGGTCTCCTAAACGTTACAAATAATTTCTTTTTGTGTTTTTCCTTAAGAATTGTCAATTAGAATTACGAGTTAACAAAGATTGAAATAGATATAAGCCCAAATTTACTAATATATCATAATTTATTCATACAATAAATAATTCACAAAAACTTCATTATTAAACAGATAAATTTTGCTTAAAGCAACAACCTGACAGTTGTGTGCCTAGGGCCCCCACATTTCTAAATCAGGCCCTGACTACATTGATTCATTTAAAAATTGAAGTATTAAATGTAGACATTCAAAATTAATGGCGAAAATGGGAAACCAACCATGAACAGGGTTCATACTCTTTCTAAGAAAGTAAATTTCAGGAGTTTCTAAGGAGTTTTTCAGGAGTACAATACAATAAATTCAGGAGGTGCGAGGGAAAATTATATACTTTGTATAATTTTAATATAGCTATTTATAAAATTAAATTTACAACATTACAAAAAAAACCACAAAATAGTAAATTAATAAAAAAAGGATCTTAAAATATTATTTATTTTAAACACTTTTTAAAGACATATATGTCTTATTCAGTTCTTCACATATTTTAAGCTTAGATATTTTTTCTTTAGCATGACGCCTTAAGGCATTTGCTTTTGAAATTAATGAGAGATCACATTTTTTTCTGCCTGATCAGAATAATCATCAGAAGTTTTATTAAGTTCTTGTATATCATCCTCCAAATGTTTCTTTTTTCACCCTTAGCTTTATTATTTGTAATTACTTTCTCTTTTTCCAAATGTGCAAGATATCTTTGAAGTGCAACTGTAGCTGAAACAATGAGTTCTTTTGAAATAATGACTTTTT